CCTGGTAGTACCTACTTAATTCTGTGGCCACGGTAATAAACGCAGCCGTAGTACAGCCTTCTGTGTATATCATACAGAATTTGTCTTGACAGTTAGATGTAGTTTCTAAGTTTTTTTTTAGGTCAACGTCACCAGCCAAAGGTAAAAAAAAAGTGAGGGGCCAGAAGGTTGCTGACAAAACGATCCTCAATGTTCTTACAACAGAACAGAAAGAACGTCTCTTTGCTTTAAGGGAACAGAAGGAGGTAGTCAGGTTTTTGCTGCCAGATGCCCCGGAAAAAAAGCAGAAAAGGTACTTATTTGTGTGTTTTTTTTTTCAAATGATCATGAGGTAAATAAAATTGTTGTGTCTTACTTTCAAATATTTTACAGAAAAAAATCTCCAGCACGTATTCCGTGTCCCCTTACACCTGACACACCACCCACTCCTCCTCTGCCCAAACCTAGAATTGGTGCCACAGAGTCGGTGGTGGAAAAACCCCCTGCCAAGAGGTAGCTATAATTTTAAGTACTTTGACAAATTATTAGTCGATGTTGATACATTTATAAGACTATGTTTTTTACAGACCACGTAAATTAGCACAATTTTCACCTTCAACTGGCACTAAACTCGTGGAGGCCATTCAGGCGGAAGGAGTTGTGGTGGATGCTCGTATCGAGCTAATTGGATTTTCACCCAGTGAGTTAAATGTAATATTCAAGTTAAAAAAGCCCATAAAAACGTAGGTAGTTTTTTTCCAGAATTTAACCAGTAACTACTTAATTATATATTTTTAGCATCCGGTACCAGTACCATTCCAGACTCAAATACGTCTACTCCAAAGTCTTTACCCGCAGTTACTAAAGGTGAGTGTTATTTTATAACTTTTCAATTGTGTGCTTGTGCGTGCGTATAATATAGTATGATTGTGGTTTTATTTCAGAACCATCATTATTCGGAGACCCGGAGGAAATGAGTTTCGAGTGTCAAAACAACACAGGCAGCGATGTGGATGACGATCTACTTGATACAGGCACCGTTGACATTGACGAAGGCCGGTGCAGGAATGTCAACGATTATCCAGCAGACCTGTTTGATATATCTCCTGAGCATCTGCACCAATTGCACCATTTAGATGCTGAAGACGATTCTGCATTACGGGCCATGGCAGGTAATGAAGACTTGATGCATTTTGCCTGGAGCAGCGACCCCAAAGTCTTTACTGGAGCCAGAGAAGACTTCCATGGTCCATCGGGCCCAACATTCCCAGTGGAGAGTGTCACCCCACTAGACATTTTCGAGAGGATTTGGGACGAAGCTATTATAGAGCATATTATAAAGGAGACCAATAGATATGCCTTTCAACTTTTTAGTCAGACAAATTTAACGCAGCAGTCCAGGATGAGACGGTGGACTGATGTCACGCGAGACGAGCTATGGACCTTCTTTGGGATAATAATGTTACACAGCTTTGTCCCAAATCCCGTCGAAAAAGAGTATTGGTACCCTCTACTGCCCGATCTTCAGATCGGCAACATTAAAAACAGAATGTCCTTCAGACGGTTCCTTTTAATTAAGAAATGTCTGCATTTCGTAGACAACACTTCGATAACTGAGCAGTCTACAGGTGAACAAAAAAAACTTAAGAAAATTCAGCCCATACTGAATCATTTAAATGATAAATTTAGCAGTTTATACCTACCCGAGCAGAACATAGCGATCGATGAGTCTCTCCTTCTTTGGAAAGGGCGACTCTCGTTCTCCCAACTCATCGCCACCAAAGCTGCTCAGGTAGGTATAAAAAGCTACGAGTTATGCGAGTCCCGAACAGGATATCTGTGGAAGATGGAGGTTTACGCAGGAAAAAGCCACGATGTATCAGAAAGTGTGGACCCGGAAAGAGGATTGAACGAACCTGAGGGGGCCACGTCCCAAATAGTCTATCGTCTTGTTCGTCCTCTATTAGATAAAGGCTACACTTTGGTGATGGACAATTTCTATAACTCGCCTCTACTGTCACGAACCCTAAAATCTCGTAAAACAGATACCATCGGGACTCTTCGGCTCAATCGGCAATTTGTACCGGACAGCCTTCGTAGCAAAACAAAGCTTAATATGCGCACGGGGGAGGTTGCCAGCAGCCAAACCCAGGATCTGACGATTGTGGTGTGGAAAGATAATAATTTAGTTTCACTGATTTCCACTTACCACAAAGTGGAAATCAGTGGAAAAGAAAAACATGGTGTTTATAAATATAAACCCCAAGTTGTTCTAGACTATAATCTTGCAATGGGGGGTGTCGACAAGAAAGATCAACTCTTGCAGGCATACCCCGTTGAAAGAATCAGAAATTTAGTTTGGTACAAAAAATTGTTTCGGAGACTTCTAAATGTCTCCATACACAACTCATACGTAATTTATAACTGTAAAACGAATATAAGTCAAAGGCTGTTTCGTGTACAACTTGCCGACCAAATTTTGAAAAAATACAACCCGCAACTCCCTACGCCGGCTCAGGTGCCAAAAACTGGTCATTTCCCAACTAGAACCAATAAAAGAACGCGTTGCAAATTGTGCGCGAAAAGTAAACTGGATGTTCGTACTCCCTGGGCGTGTGATACATGCTTAGTCAGTTTGTGCATTGATGGATGCTTCAAACGATTTCATATCAGCTCATAGATTGTGAGATTGTTTAAAGCATCATCATGTTTTCTGTCCATGTTTGTCCACACATGTTCTGGTAAACAAATATACTTATCTTATTTTATCAAAAAATATCTTTCAAATCGGTCTAGTTAACGAAGATAGGATTATCCACCAGAAATTTGCTCTAAAGGTTGTATTTTAGTTGAATTGGAAATGCAATGCGACAGGCCCGACCCAGTTCTAAAATATAAAAATATAAATATCGAATTGATAACCACGTCCTTTTTGAAGTCGGTTAAAATAGACATCACTTTTTAAACCATGTAAACTGAACTCTGACTTATAAATCTACTATAGTCTGCTGGTCTGCGAGCACGTAGAATTTTGTCCAAAGACCCCAAGCTACCCATCCTTATCGCTCGCGTGTAATTATGTTGCTATCGCGCTCGCATCGCTCACATTCACTGCGGCCACCCGTCGCACAGTCGCGACAGCAATATAATTACGCGCGAGCGATAAGGATGGGTAGTTTGGGGTCATTGGACAAAATTCTACGTGATCACAGACCGGGCTTTAGCGGCCGCCCGCGACTTCGTACGCGTGGATCCCGTTTTACTACGTAAGTGCTACGGTAGGTACCTACCTACCGTAGCGGCGGGCGTAGTCACAGCACACGTTACATACCTATGTAACGTGTGCTGTGACTACGCCCGCCTCAGCTCACGATGGCTGTACATTACATTTTGCGCTGTTTTGTGATATTTTCAGATGCTGTGTTTTAATAGGCTAGTTTCCTAAAAAAAATTTTTTAGTCCGTCAATTGTAATATAAAAAAATATTAGACACATATATTTTTAATTGTCAATCAAACAAATTGTAATTACAAATTTATAGTGCGTTGAAGTTCCGCGGGACGTTACAAAGTGCTGCACATTTACGCACTCAATGACGTCACGGGCCTTTTCTTTAGAACTTTGGCACGCTTTATCTCTTTACATTTTCATTAGTTTTAAAAAGTGAAAAATGCGTGTCGAGTAGTTTTTGATAAGCTAACTGACGGACTAATTAAAACTCTTGCTTTTTTACCCAGGAAACATCCCTATTATTTTTGTACAATAACGTGTATTATTCCTTTTTTAAATATAGTCTAAATACAGAATTTTACTATATTAAGGAGTTTGACAGACTTTTGACATTTGTTAAAATTAAAGTAAGATGGTGCAACCCAGCCTAAGAATAAAATTTTAATTTAGATAGAAAAGGATATTTGTAGGATATTTTACAAGGTTTTTTTTTTGTTATAATTGCTTCTTCCAAACAAAATGTGAGTACAAATTTCATTACAAAATTGTAAGACATGTAAATAAATATTTTTAAAGGATCGACTTTGGTTTTATTTTATTTTTTAACCCTTTAATAGATATCTAATACTTCCCGCACCCCGCGCTTCCCTCGACCAAAAAGTGGTGGGGCGCGTCTTCGTAGATGAAACGATTTATACCTAAGAAAATACCGACTATCTGGTGAAGGTCACGGGGAGTACCTGTACTGTAGCCTTATTCACGTAATAAAACTTCAACGACAACAAATCGCTGAGTTAAAAAGATTATGAGACATGTACCTAGAGGCTCCTTAAGAGCAAAATGACGATTTGTAAGAACTATTTATTAGTCTAAACAAATAAAGAAATTTTGACTTTGACTTTTAGTTTAGTTGACGGGGATTGACAACGGGGAATAGTGGAATAAGCCGTGAATTGGACCACTGGACGTGGGCAGCGCATGACTCGTTTTGGAAGGCCTTATGGGAGGCCTTGTCCGGTGGACGTCCATTTGGCTGAAACCACAGAATAATAATAAGTACTACGTACAGAAGTTTTACTTCGCGAAGGTATTTAAAAAAATGTATGCTCAATGTCATTAACATTAAGGTGTAATTTAGCATGTCTCAAGAGTCAAGCACCATTTTGTTGACAAACGTCAGTGATCGGCACTGCGCCGAAGCTATAGGGCTGACTTCGGTAAAATGATGTGACGTGAGGTGCCAAACTGCGGAAAATGACGGAGGAAATACATGATTTCGCATGAATTATCATGAATAATATTAACTACTTATTTACCTCTCAGTGTCTTGAGGCAACTTAAAAAATTACATTCTGTGTTTTTATTATTATTTAGGCAGTTAAATACTGCACAGTATTTAGTACACCATTTTCTTTATTTTCTTTTATCATACACAAGAATACGCGTGCGTGAGTCAATGTTCGCTCGTATGTGAGGCCTTGTCGAATAGTATCCTGTAGGTGGGCCATCGTGCGTGTTTTGTTTTCGATGTAAACTCGCGGAGATGAACAGGCCTGGTAAAACGAACATACCTTAGAGAAGGGATGTCTCTCGATTTCCTCAGTGAGGTTGTTGAAGGGCGCCTCCAAAATGAGGGCATCTGGCGGCGGCAGGCGTTTGCCCGCACATTTGCACAGCTCGGGCAGGTGAGCCGCCATGTTGGAAACCACCGCTGTTCCTGTGGGCACACGAGTAAAGCTTATAGCGGACGTATGCCCATTTTCACCATCTTAGTAACATAAAAAGAATTTTGTTTTCATAGGGGTCACTTAAAAATCAGGGATTGATGATGAAAACGGGAATAGGTTAGATGACAAAATTTCAATTATTTGTCCGTCAGATAGATACTTAATTAGAAAATATTAGACTCATATTTTTTGTTTTCTTTCACATAATATAATAACAGTGCTACATCGAGTTGGATTGGCGCGTTACGTCACACTTGAGTAGAATTTTTACTCAAAAGTGACATCACGCGACATTTCAACTCAATAATAATACTGTAAATATTCGATTATGAAAAAAATTCAAAAATGTGTCCAATTTTTTTTTATTAACTACTTATCTGACGGACTAAATAGAATTTCGATTTCATTACCCAGTCATTCATCATCCCTATTAGCAACTTAGAAAGGGATCAATCAACACCGATCGTCTTCCGCGAGAATCTTCTAGGAAACGTTCGGATTTCGTCTTTGCAAAAGCTCATTCTTCATAATATCATTTCAGCCACTGGACGTCCACTGCTGAACATAGGCCTCCCCAATGATTTCCATAATGACCGGTTGGTAACGGCCTGCATCCAGCGCCTTCCTGTTGCCTTTATGAGGTATTTTGTCCACCTTGCTGGTGGACGGTCACTAGCCCAGATTAGCTGTAAGTAAGTCAATGTTCCACGCTACGTCTTCCGGCTCGTGGTCGCCACTCAAGAACTTTCCTGCCCCAGCGGCCATCAGCTCTTCGAGCTATGTGCCCCGCCCACTGCCACTTGATTTTAGCGATTCTGCGGGCTATGTCATTCACTCTGGTTCTCCTACGGATCTCCTCATTTCTGATTCGATCACGCAGGGAAACTCCGAGCATAGCACGCTCCATCGCTTTTTAGGTGGACCGACGATCTGGTGAAGGTCGCGGGAGGTGCCTGGATGCGAGCGGCGCAGGACCGGTCTTTGTGGAAATCCTTGGGGGAGGCCTTTGTCCAGCAGTGGACGTCTTTCGGCTGAAACGAACGAACGAAGTCAATGTTCAAGCACTAACTTATATTATTAACTTTACTACAACCAGCTGGTCCATACCCAAAGAATGTCCCCATAGCAGCACCTTCGGCCTGTTGACAGTGGTGAGCGAATCCAGGAGCCAAGCGTATACTTGCAGGGCGTCTTCAACCACGCCGCGCTCTGTAGGGCGGACGCGTGTGGAGTCCCCATAACCTGCAAGTATACAGGTTTGATATACAATCATTGTGAGAAGAATGTTTTTCAGAGGCAGAAGGGAAAAAGGCAGCTGATGAAAACACCCTATATTGCTTCATATTGCTGTGACGTAATAATGAGAGGTCGATCGTTTAGATCACTGTCACTTGCTAGTACGAAGACAGTGGCGCCACCGTAGAGTAGGGTCATTTCAATCGTCAGTGGTGCCTACTGAGTTTGGATGTCTGGATGGATGTTTGTTACTCTTTCACGCAAAAACAATAGAACGGATTTTGATGAAACTTTACAGTATTATTCTTTATAACCCAGAATAACATATNATAGGCTATAATTTATGACGATCTGTGACAAACTAAATTTCACGCGGGTGAAGCCGCGGGCAAAGCTAGTTATGTTTTGATGAAACTTTACAGTATTATTCTTTATAACCCAGAATAACATATAGGCTATAATTTATGACGATCTGTGACAAACTAAATTTCACGCGGGTGAAGCCGCGGGCAAAGCTAGAACGGATTTTGATGAAACTTTACAGTATTATTCTTTATAACCCAGAATAACATATAGGCTATAATTTATGACGATCTGTGCCAAACTAAATTTCACGCGGGTGAAGCCGCGGGCAAAGCTAGTTATGTATAAAAACCATATAGGTCTCATTGGCTTTGGTTCTAGAATGTAGCAATAAAATTTTAGTTACGAATGCGGTACGTGTAAAAGGACGGTCTATCCGGAATTCTCCTTCGAGGCTGTCTTTCATTCAAACGGTGTTAAATATAATCTTGCCCGTAATCAATTTATTATTACAAGACTTACCTCTATAATCAAAGGTGATGACGTGAAAATTCAGCTCTTGAAACACTTTGTACATTTGCAGCCGGTGCGGTGACGCTCTGTGGTTGGAATTTCCTGAAATCAACGAATTCTGAATTCGGTAAGGGGCTTTATATGTATGTTATAGTCAAACCTCGAAGCTCAGGCGCTCCTAGGTTTGACTAGTCAATCCTCAGGTCTGACTAGAAGTCTTAGTCAAAGCCCAAACATTTCGGCCTTTAACTAAAGAATGTTAGTCAAACCTAAGAGAGACTAATTTGGTCAGTCAAACGTCGAAACTGAATTTAATGAAATCGGGGTTTGACTAGTCAAACCTCAATTAAGACTTTAAACTAAACTACACTTCATTTTGATATTGAACTTATTACATAGACTTTACCGACCGGTTCTCTCTTTAGGTGAAGGTACGAGTACGAATAACTAAACTTGTTTACTGCGGTAGTTTATCAGTGTTTCTAAACCGATCTTGAAATTATTATTTTTAGGGTTCTGTACCTTAAAGGATTAAGGGTAAAAACGGAACCCTATTACTATGACTTTGCTGTTTGTCTGTCACCAGGCTGTATCTCATGCCTTTCCCAAAATATTTAGTTTTATAGTCACTTTAAAAATGAATAAAAATAAGTTTAAAAATCATCCCCATTCGCCATAATTATAACAATAAAAGAGTAGTACGGAACCCTTCGTACGTGAATCCGATTCGAACTTGGTCGGTTTTCAGCTATAACTGTTGCCGGCCTCTGTAACGCTGCGTCTACTTTTGACCAAGTCTGCCAGTCGTTTCTAGGATTGACTAGGCAAAGCCCGAAACAGATTATTTTAGTTCCGACGTTTAACTGAACAGTTTAGGCACTTCTAGGTTTGACTTAGTCAAAGGCCGAAATAATAATTCACTTCGGGGTTGGCCCGAAGGTTTTGGTCAAACCTAGGATAGACCAGTCATTCCGCGAAGAGACTGCATATCGACCTTTGACTATGACATGTATACCCAACTTACGTTATGGAATTATGATGGGGTATTCTCTCTATCTATCTCCCCGGGTGCCAACCCAAGCTACGCCGCCACTGCCACCTGATTTATGATGAAGGAAGATTTCGTTAATTCAGTGTTTACCATGACAATACAGCACCACAGTGTTCCTTGTCCTCTTGAGCTCTTCGTGTAGACGTTCATCTACCCGCGTGTAGTCTCGGATCACGAACACGTCCCGAAACATGGAGCACGGGACGATATGCCATACCCCTGGGAACATAAGAGTTTTTACTTAAGTTTGAAGATAAACTGTTAGTAGGTAGCTACTAAAAATTTTAGTCATATACCATCAAGTAAGTATGTAAAAAAGCAACAGTAGATGTAGGGCCACTAAACTTTGACAAATTGTAACCACACTAACGTAAAACAAAACAATGTGTGGTATTGTTACGAAGATTGTCTCATTCTTACCCAATTTTATAGGACAGTCATCAACAGTCGACTCAAACTCTATCTTAAAGTTTCTACCGCCGACTACGTTGCAGCTCGAAGGATTGTCATAGTCGAGATTTCTTGGATAGTTTACTAAAATACAAAAGCATTAGTATTTCACAATATTGTTAATAATCATTAAAAAGACATTTTTATTAAGCTTCATAGCATAAATTCTGTTTTGTAACATGTTGCTACAGAAAAAGTTTTCGTTTATAAGCTTCACAGCATAAACTCATTTCTGTAACATGTGGCTATCGAATTTTATCAGGCGCTATACATTACTTTCGTGGTTGCGGTGATAGTACTGTTTTTCAGACTTGAAAGAACATATTAGAGGATTTTTTTTACTTAAAATTGATTTAGGTAATGTAATTTTACTTACTGCAGTTGGAAAAGACCATTTTCCTCTGAACCGCCTTGCTATATTTGAATAACAAAGGTATAACAGCCACTTGCACCACCAACAAGCTGGCCGTTACGGAGGCTCCAGCCATCAATATTGTCCTGTATTTATTGAAACATTAAGCACAACTCGGTAGACAAACCCAGAATCTTTTAGTAAATTATGTTGAAACATAACCGTAATTATCTACTACTTACCCTATCACCATCGTGGATAGGAATTATTTTACACTGTCTAAAATCACTTTTTAATTTCATTTTACTATTTGTTTTTATTTTTTAACATAATTATTTTATTCTTTTTGCATTTTCAAAACATTATTTGTGTTTATTTCACTAAGATTTGACAAGGAATTGCCAAAAACATTTTTTACAACCACCAAGGAGACTGAAATATTATACAAATCCAACGGTCAGTCATAGATAACTTTCCATAGATATTTCAATGAGCATGGAGGTTGTCACAATGAGAATTTATTTTTAGTAAAACCACAGATAACACGAGTGTTCCAGCGACTTGGCCCACTTTTGGCTTGGTACACGGGCCAAGTTGCCTAATTGAATCTTAAATATTTATTCTTCCAGCAACTGGGCGTATAATATAATTATTAAAAATATTGTAATGATATCCCTTTATGTTTTGATATGAATTCCCTGAATACAAACAAATAAAACCAGAAACGAATTAAAAACGTACAGTCGTATAAAAGTCATTTATTCATCTTAATAAATTACAAATAAATAGAAAACAATAATAACATTATCACAAGAGTACCCGATAAGTACACTTAAACAAAATAAAAACACCGTTAAACAAAAACAAGTGCGTCATTTGTATGGGACTCATTCATACAAAAAACCTGTCTCATACAAAATGTCGCATTAAACCACATACCAACATATTGGTAGACACGGGTAAACCCGGGTGATAAATTATGTATTTGACAGTTAATCATAATTTCTCTAAAAGAACATTTCACTTTAGCGTTTAATGCAAGACATTTTCTGATTTACCCATATCTATCGTAAGACCAGAGAATTTATGGAAATAAAATATTAATAAAAAAAATCAATAAAATGTCATGAGATCTCCCAAAATAATAAAATTTATAATTCCTCAAGAATTCTCCAGTCAACTCAATCTTTACGGTTGTATACAATTTATTTCAAAAACATAAAATTAAATAATTTACAATAAGTCAGTCGCACTAATGCACTCTAAAATATGTGAACATACCTTTACCTGTGATGAGTTGAGAGAGACTAATGCCCGTTTTCACCATAAATCCCTAATTTTTAAGTGACCCCTATGAAAATCGTCTACGAAAATCTTAACTAAAGTGATACTTAGTTAGGGAACGCTTAAGGATTGATGGTGAAAACTGGCATAAAACAACAAAAATGTGCCTAAAATTTACGTCCTATGTACTACGTTCAAAATCCCCACGATGAGTATTTTTGTTTACAGCATTATAATTATCCATAAATAGTTATTAAATATTAATATAAATTAGCAGACTTGTGTATATCACAAAGTTATACTTATAGCCTTGAAAATGTATTGTGACAATAATAATCCTAAATTACAATGAGCGTCTAAAAGCTGTCGGAGTGTGCCGTTTCATTGGTGATTTTTCACGAACTCTCTGCAACAAAACAAAGTTTTCTATTGTTAAAATATTGTGGGCTTTTGCCCGCGGCTTCACCTGCGTGAAATTTAGTCACATATCGTCATAAATTACAGCCTATATGTTATTCTGGGTTATAAACAACAATGCTGTAGTTTCATCAAAATCCGGTCAGTAGTTTTTGCGTGAAAGAGTAACAGACATCCAGATATCCAAACTTTCGCCGTTATAATATTAGTAGGAAGTAGGATATTGCAGATGATTTCATTTATTTTGTAAGTAGCCTTTTAAAAATCTCTTTTACACGTCCTAGTGTTACTTTAATCCTACCATTGCTTGCGATGAAATTAGAAAGGTTTGTGCTACTTTGAGTGGGAGAGGTTGTGTGCAGAAGTAGTGTGGGCCAAATTCACTACATATACATGTTACGGCTAAAGATAGTTGTGAACATAAACTTAAGATTAGCCGGCTAAACTTAAGTTTATCTTCGAGAAGCAGCTAAAGTTCGATAACATGTTAGTTTGCGTCGTGATATTCCATCTTTAGCCGGCTAATGTGCACATTAGCCAAAACGAAACGGCTAAAAATGTATTCGATGGGCGCGCCAGGCCGGCGGAGGGCTTGAGGGGGCGGTGGGGAGAGAACGCGCGCGCAGTTTATTTTGTAATTTTAAATACCTACAGAAGATTCAATTGTAATGACCAAATGGTTCCTTATTATTTTATTTTAATGATTAGGTAGATATTGTTTTAAGTAATTAATATTTTGTTATTGTAATAATTGTAATTTTGAATACGTACAATGTACATAGGTACATAAAAGTATATGTAATGAAAGTGATTATTTTTTAACACGTTCCGCCGCGGTAACGGCATATACAGTAAAGGTGGAATTCATTCATATTATGGCAGTTCGGGTCTCGCCGTTTTTACGAAAATCAATCTAAAAATCACTACGGCAACAACCGTCGATTTTACATAGAGTTTCATAGAGAGCACACTTGTTGTTGCAAAATATTGTGAACAACAGTACGGGTATAGGTGTATGAAACATTATGAAGATTGTTAGTGTCATAGTGGACTGGAGTACAGCGTCGGAACGTGTTAATAAAGTTTTCGTGTCAAAATAGTAAACATTATTACATTGTTTCCTTTTCCATTTCCTTCTACATTTTTAGCCAGGGGCCTGCGGTTACACTTAAGTTTAGCCGGCTAAAGATAGAAGAAACTAACATTAACACCTCGTCGAAGATAAACTTAAGTTTAGCCGGCTAATCTTAAGTTTATGTTCACACCTATCTTTAGCCGTAACATATATAACAAAATTGTCCCAAATGTGTCCCAAAATTTGCACGTCACACTGACACCAGAAGTAAAAGAGCTTAAGACGCATCTAACTAGTCTATTAAGTCCATTTTTAATAATAACTAATATAAGTCATATATTTTCAAAACTCATCAAACTTTTTATGGAAATTAATAAATAAAATTGGTCATATCTTAAAACTTATTAAACTTTTCTATGGACATATTAAGCTTGTTCGATGCGTCTTAGGCCTCAGCCTCGAGTTTAGCGGGCAGCGGGGCGGGAGCGGCGGCGGCGCGGGAGCGGCAGGATCTTATGCGTAAAATCAAATAGACCGGTTCTCGAAAACAGCGGCGCGGGAGCGGGCAACGAGCGGGCAGCGCACTCCTTCTTTTGCCCACAATAAATCGAGCGTTAGGAATAAATTTGAATCGAAATAAAATTGTCGCTGTTGTTCAGACATTTCGTTCGCGAATAAAAACAAATATCTCGACAACACAACCCCGAACACAACACTTCGCCGCTAAAGCGCCGCGCGAGCTGCCCGCTGGTTTCGAGAACGGGTCTGCGTTGCCCGCCCCGCTCCCGCGCCGCCGCCGCTCCCGCCCCGCTGCCCGCTAAACTCGAGGCTGAGGCCTTAGACTCAGCTACCTCCAGTGTTAGTGTGACGTGCTAATTTTAGGACACCCTGTATAGAGGGTCGTGTTCCTGATAATGATGATGGAATTGGGCATTGTTGGGCTCCAGCATTGGAGACTAAATGACTTTTTTATGACAATGATGATGAATTTGACTTTGTTGTACTCCTGCAGTAGACTAAATAAACTGATGATGATGAAATGTTTTGGCAATGGTGACTAAATGACCTGTGAAATGAAATGATGATGATGATGGTGATGATGATGAAGATGATGAAGATGAAGATGAAGATGATGATGGATCTTCCACTCACCCGACCACCTCAGGCAGGTCTTCCGCGTGGCAGATCCACTTATGTCCCAGCCCTTGCGACTTGTCGTACGCGTGCAGCTTGACGGTGGCGCCGCCTAGCGAGCGAGACGCCACGATCGATTTGAACAGCTGGAAAATAATATACAGGGTGTTAGGTAAATGGGTATATGAGCCGAGACTAGCCCATGTTAACATGGTCATATAAATGGTATGGTGAAGTCAGAAAATTGATATCTTCATTTTAATTAATTTATTTTTCATACAAATCGGATTTTATAAAATTTATTTTGATCGATACACATCGAGATGTGTACGAGCAAATTGAAAGGGTGCTTATCGGTGACCTGCCGTCAGTTTCGAGCCTGTGGCAGGCCTTTTTGGAGTTAAATTCTATTGCTTATGTCTTATACAAACTGTCTACTCGCTAACAGCTATCCTACGAACATTTCTGAGCTCTTACTGGACATCGATTCCAGTCAAATGACGATTTCATAGAGAGGTTGACATGAAAAAACGGTCTTCCCTCTGCGATGTGCGCCGGCGCTGTTCAGAACTTGGTCTCGGGATAAAGCCACTAGTCTCCCTAAAGCGTCTTAAAACTTTTGAAACCCAGGACTGGCTTATGTGGCGCTGACGTGCGACAGCCCGCTGGCTGAGCCCTTCTTGCAATAGTGCAACGATTCGTGCTGCTTCTGAAGGTGTAGAATCCCAGGTAAAGTGTAAAAAGAAGCGGAGATGTGTATGAATCAACGTGTGAAAGCAAAAATCCGAAAACGCGTGCTTTTATAGGGGGTAATAGGCCGCAACTCGCGACGTATCAAACAGTTCATACATGTCTTTTTCGTTACTTCTTCACATCAGCCGGGATATCTTTTTAAATACTGGTGTGATTTAAATGAATTTGGTATCAATTTAAAGATAAAAGTTTAATCTTTAAAATGGTGCCACTTTTTTTGTTCCTAACAAATTCGTTAGTACACAAGATCGCGTGGAAACAACTTCATGTAAGTGATTCCATACTTTTGCTCGCGAGTGTATAAGAGCTATACTGTTGAAACTTGGTAGGTAGATGTATTCGGTGAACCGCATTAAGATTTTGATGCAAAAATAAAATAATAATAATAAATATTGGGGACTCCCCATACTTAGAACTGAAACTCAAAAAATTTTTTTTCATCAAACACATACGTGTGGGATATTTATGGATAGGTCTTCAAAAACATTTTTTTTCTAAGCCGAATAGTTTGCGTGACAGACGCTTCCAAAGTGGAAAAAAGTTGCCCCCCCCCCCCCCTCTAACTTCTAAAATAAGAAAATGAAAAATCTAAAAAAAACATATGATGTACATTACTATAAAAACTACCAACGAAAATTGTTTTGAACGAGATCTAAAAAGTAGTTTTTTTTTAATACCTCGTAAATCGTAAACCGCTNCTTCTAAAATAAGAAAATGAAAAATCTAAAAAAAACATATGATGTACATTACTATAAAAACTACCAACGAAAATTGTTTTGAACGAGATCTAAAAAGTAGTTTTTTTTTAATACCTCGTAAATCGTAAACCGTTTATTACCGCGTAATCTTTCATACTAATAACTTAAATAAAAAATAATAATTTTAATTTCATAAATAAATGGTACGGAACCCTCGGTGCGCGAGTCCGACTCGCACTTGGCCGGTTTTTATAGATTGGGTTTGGGACATAAAGTTAGATATTCCTTCGGAATAGAGAAATTCTTTCATCATTAAATCAAAATATTTGGCATGCATTACGAGTATATCCAGTTTATAATATAGCAAATGGTTTTTTAACTAAAGCCCGGTCTCCGAGCACGTAGAATTTTGTCCAATGACCCCAAGCTACCCATCCTTATCGGTCGCGCGTAATTATGTTGCTGTCGCGCTCGCACACTCACTGCGGGCGCCCGTCGCACAGTCGCGACAGCAATATAATTACGCGCGAGCGATAAGGATGGGTAGCTTGGGGTCATTGGACAAAATTCTACGTGCTCCCCGACCAGACTATAGGAATATAAATAAATAAACTATACAAGCGAAAGGTCACTGACTAACAGTTTCAAATCTTGCATGGGGGTTCTTTTTAGAACGTAGGTGCTCACTAAGACGGTATTTGCAAAAGTCAACCCCTAAGGGGGTAAAACGGTAAAACTCATGGATAAAATCCACGCGTACGAAGTCGCGGGCGGCTGCTAGTCAAAATATAATTACTTACCCTGACCCCCACCACAAAAGGCACGATGACGTCATCCTTTGCGTGCAGTATCAGTATCGGCAAGGCAGGAACGCGCGCCAAATGCTCCTCCGAACGGAACGAATGCTCGGGCGCCGCTCGGAATGGTTTCACGAACGCCGCGTCGAAATACGGCAGCCATGTTACAAGCTGATGAAAAACAAAATGTATTTGCAATAAAAGAAGCCATTCATTTATTATGTAAGATCATTTAGGGGGGGAGGGAGTCGACCATGTCTTATTTTTTCTTACAAGGGGGTCAGAGGTGAGATGTGAGATGCGTAATAGGCAAATGATTTTCATTTATATTAACCGGCAGACAGTGGTGACTGAGTTTGTTGCGGCGCTTCTTCTCAGCACTTGCCAAATGTTGGTCTCGAAGCGCTGGTAGGGTAAAAAAGATTATGAGACATGTAGAGGCTCCTTAAGAGCAAAATGACGATTTGTAAGAACTATTTATTAGTCTAAACAAATAAAGAAATTTTGACTTTGACTTTTGACTTTGACATTTCCATGGCAAAGGACGCGCGCTACCCGCACTGCGTCTCTCGGGAATTCCCTGCTTGTGTACTAGTCGTCAAACGTGTACCTATTTCATTTTTTCCTTTAGATTCTTACGTAATAAATATTAAACAGGGGGTAGGGGGTCGGCCTATTCTTATTTTTTCTTATAGTAGAGACGGAGGGGGTTAAAAACTTGCGAAAATAGTCTTACGTAATAAATGAATGGCCCCAAATATCTCTATTAGCAAGCTGAAGTGGCAATGGGCAGGGCACATAGTACGCAGAACTGACGGCCGATGGGGCAGCAAGGTTCTGGAGTACAGGCCGCGTGTCGGAAAACGCAATTTAGGACGTCCACTCACAAGGTGGACCGACGACATCATAAAGGTAGCAGGAAGGCGCTGGACACAGGCTGCTACCATTCCTCTCAACCCAGAATCTAGAGGGGATCAATCTAGAAGGCAGAGGGGTTCCACCCAGAAGTCGGAGGGGATCCATCCAGAAGTCGGAGGGGATCCATGCAAAAACCCAATGATCTATAGTTTCTTCAAAAAAGTTCCTTATAAGGATATAACCTTCGATATAAGGATCTCGGCGACCTCCTCAGCCAAGTTGTTGAAGGGCGATTCCAGAATAAGACCCTTGGGTATTGGGAGAGGCTTGAGTTGCCAAGCAGGTGGGACCACTCTCCCCCCTTAGGGGCCTTACGAAGCCCATTAGCGGACGACTAGAGAGGATCCAAAGTACCCCTTAGCCCAGAAGCCAGAGGGGATGAAGCCGGTGGGGATCTACCATGGCCCTCAGACGAGGAGCTGAGGGGGAACTTCTTTCCTCTCAACCTAGAATCTATCGGGATCAATGTAGTAGCTAGAGGGGATCCATCTAGAAGTCAGAGAGGATCAATCATTAATACATTAATGATCTACCATATTTTGTTAAGGACTCTTGTGAAATCGTATTATTTGCTGATGACACATCTTTGATTTTTAATATCGATAGAAGTAAAAATAACTTTGACGATGTAAATAATGCACTAACAAGAGTTTTAAGTTGGTTCACTACAAATAATTTACAACTCAATGCAAAGAAAACAAAATGTATAAAATTATCTTTGCCTAACGTAAAAACAGNTTGACTTTGACAATCTAGAAGCCAGAGGGGGCCACCATTCCTCTCAACCTAGAATCTAGAGGGGATCAATCTAGAAGCCAGAGGGGATCCGCCATTCCTCTCAAACTAGAATCTAGAGGGGATCAATCTAGAAGCCGGAGGGGATCCATCCAGAAGCCAGAGGGGATCCATCCAGAAACCGAATCTGATGTATAGTTTAAAAAAGAGACCCCTTACCTTTGATATCGGAATCTCAGCGACTTCCTCAGCCAAATTGTTAAAGGGCGACTCCAGGATCAGTCCTTTGGGCATTGGGAGAGGCTTGGCCCGGTCCAGGACCTTCACAGACAGTTCGTCTAAGTGGCCTAGCAGGTGGGACAACTCTTCCCCCTTAGGGGCCTTACGAATGGTATCAGACGAACCGAGGGGATCCAAAGTACCCCTTAGCCCAGAAACTATATGGGATCTACCATGGTCTTCAGCCCAGAAGTCGGAGGGGATCTACCATGGCCCTCGGCCGAGAAGCTAAAAGGGATCCAACATTTCTCTTAAGCCCGAATATACAGGATATCAATCTAGAAGCCAAAGGGGATCCATTCAGAAGCTGGAGGGGATCCATCTAGAAGCCAGAGGGGGTCCATCTAGAAGCCAGAGGAGATCCATCTAAAAGCCAGAGGGGATCGATAGTTAAAGTAACCATTACCTTTGATATAGGGATCTCGGCGACCTCCTCAGCCAAGTTGTTGAAGGGCGACTCCAGGATCAATCCTTTGGGCATCGGGAGAGGCTTGGCGCGGTCCAGGACCTTCACTGACAGTTCGTCTAAGTTGCCTAGCAGGTGGGACAACTCTTCCCACTTAGGGGCCTTACATAGCCCATTAGCGGACGACCCGAGGGGATCCAAAATACCCCTTAGCCCAGAAACTATATGGGATCTACCATGGTCTTCAGCCCAGAAGCCAGAGGGGGTCCATCTAGAAGCCAGAGGAGATCCATCTAGAAGCCAGAGGGGATCCATCTAGAAGCCAGAGGGGATCCATCCAGAAGTCGGAGGGGATCGATAGTTAAAATAACCCTTACCTTTGATATAGGGATCTCGGCGACCTCCTCAGCCAAGTTGTTGAAGGGCGACTCCAGGATCAGTCCTTTGGGCATCGGGAGAGGCTTTGCCCGGTCCAGGACTTTAACAGACAGTTCGTCTAAGTTGCCTAGCAGGTGAGACGATATGCCTGTGCCTGGAATATGAAAAATAGGATTATTTGGTGGGAAATTGTGCCTGAAATGTGAATAGTCGTAATAAATATCTGTCGCAGGTGGGATTCGAATTTGAGAATTACAGCTGGTTTGGGAGCAGCGTATCCCCTTAGTGGGCATATAAAGATGCTTTTATACCGACGACAAGACCTTGAACCCATCCCCTAATGGTGGGAATTATATTCCCACCAGCTTTTACCCGCGGCTTCACCCGCCTGAAATTTAGTTTGTTACATATCGTCATAAATTATAGCCTATGTGTAATTCTGGGTCATAAACAATAATACTGTAAAGTTTCATCAAAATCCGATCAGTAGTTTTTGCGTGAAAGAGTAACAAACATCCAGACATCCAAACTTTCGCATTTATAATATTAGTAGGACTAGGGTTAACTGTATTAAATTCAGTATGTCACAGATATCGTTATATTATTATCTTAGCACTGAACTGACGCCCGGATCCATCAAGGCGGAGCGGAACGAAGAAATGTTTTAAATAACCAATCAGATTTCATTACGTCAATTTCATTCAATCTGAATGAGTTTTCTAAACATTTATTCGAATTTATGTGCTAAGATAACCCTAGTGGGCCTAAGGTTATAATTTATAACGATCTGTGACATACTGAATTTCACGCGAAGCCGCAGGCAATAGCTAGCAAGTAAATCAAAGTGTAAGTAAACTCACCTAAGGAATGTCCCCAAACAAATATAGCGGGTTTGTCCTTGGCCTTTTCCAAAGTGTTGTGAAGCCACTCGTACACTACCAAAGAGTCTTCCACCACGCCATCTTCTGAGGGGTTCAGGTTCGTTGAGTCTCCGTATCCTTGGGAAGTGGAAAAATAGAGAAATAAATGTTTTGACACACATTGAAGCCACGATAGATAGCCGAACGGTGAAGGGGTCGGACTGGCCGACTCGTGATCCGGGGAACGCGGGTTCGGTCCCCGCCGCCGCTCGACTATTGTGGTGAGCTCACTCGTGACACAAGCATATTTAGCTTAGTACGAGGGGCTAACGGGAGTATTAGTAATTTGTGCAATAACGAATTACTAATCATCTTTAAAAAAATATGGGGGATGGTGTACGAAAGGGCGCCTACTACCACAGAATAATAATAAGTACTCTACTAGTTCTACTACCAACACTCCCTTTGTGATAAACTTATTTAAAGAAAACACGATTTTGATTTGATTTATGTATGTATTTTGCCCATTTAATTAGTAGCAACCAAATATCTTCCCTGGGAGGTTTATTTCTGCCAATGTCGAGTGTTTATTTGAAGAGGTTGTATAATTGAAAATGGGTGATATTTTTCTGGTAAATAAAATTTTCTTAATATCAATGTCATAAGATATTCATTAAAGGATTTCACGGAAGTGTGTCTAAAAGCTACAGGCTATCGATTTGATAATAACATTTAAAAACAAATTATTAAATAGGATTATTTTTATAACCCCAGCATGCTCGCAGGACTAGACAGAGACTATTAAATATTATTATGTTATCTCTCACCTCTATAATCGAATGCGATTGTGTGAAAGTCCATCTGCTGAAAGAACCTATACAGCTGTATCCTGTGCGTCGCTGCGCGGGAGTTGGAATTGCCTGAAATACACAAAAAGGATGAAATTAGTAAAATTATAATTTATGTTGATGATAATTATTAATTATTATGAAGACTTATTATTATTATTTATGCTTTTGACAATAATTTATTTTATTTTATTTATTCATATTAGGGAAACAAACAATTTTGATACACAGACAAATAATCACACAAAAAATAGGACAGAAATCGCAAAGTTTCCACAGTTAAATAATTAACAGTGTTTTTAATAGGGGGAGGAGTTCAAAAGATTTTAACGACAAAAAGCTGTATAATATACGGCTGAACCCTTTTTAATTATTAAATAACGTTAAAAACTCTGCCATCTTCCGCAATTGACAAATTTTTATTTTATTTTATTCAATAAGTACACATACAGGTTACAGTTACATAACAAAATACAAGTAGGTAAATAAAAAAACAGTGTCTAGACTCTAACCTATAAGTAGCGTACATTTATGAGTTAGGTACGATAATTTTATTTACGTTGCACAATTAATAAACACAAAAAATGCTCAAAAGACACAATCCTATAGACTGTGTAAAAAAAGGAAAAAGTTTAAAGATTATTATCTCGAGTATTATCACGAACGCTTATAGCATAATGCCGGCGTCACACATATAGGCACGAGTTGGGTCCAAAGGCCACCAATTTAATGGCAAATTATTGTATCCAACAAGGTATGCGGACACATTTTGACTCCAATACCTTTTGGCAAAATTAGAGAGAAGGGAGTATCGTGTACAAAAAATGGCTGTTGGACGCAATGTAACATTTATGTCCAATATCTGACCAAGACATTGGTCTATTCATCTATTGCATCCAAAATAATAACTTGGAGCCAATATACCAAATGTGTGGAGTTGGCATTCGTCATGAGGGCTCACCATGGCAGTATATCATGATGGGCATCTTGGAAGTGGCCAGTTCTTCGTCAAGCAGCTTGTTGAGGTCTTCCTTATCACCGCCGCACTCGAAGCTTCCTTTTAAACGCTCGTAAACGCTCCTCGGGAGGATATGCCATATCCCTGAAAAGGTTTTGTAATAATTTGAAAAAATTGAACTGCCTAAGGCGGGAATCGAACCCACGTCCTTTCGCTTGCCGGGCGACTGCTCTTTCATCTGAGCTACTTATGCCCGTTTTCACCATCAATCCCTAATTTTAAAGTGACCCCTATGAAAACAAAATTCCTGTTATTTGTTACCATAGGCCATAGGGGTCACTTAAAAATTAGGGATTGATGGTGAAAACGGGCATTAGACACTGGGTGAACCCTTAACGCTAGAAAATTAAATAACTAAGGTTTTGTAGCTTTATTTTTGTCATGAAGTTGAAAATCAATGATTTAACTAAAAGGTAAAGAGTTACATCTCAAACTAAATTTTTGTAAACTTAAAAAAATCGATTGCCTCAGGAGATAATCGAACCTACGACCTTTCGGTTTCTGGCTGCTATAACCACTGAGCCACAGTGAACCAGTCGGTTATTATTGTTACTGGGACATTTTTACACTGCGCAGTTTGTATGGGTATCAGATAACTGATATAAATATTAATTGGAAAGTTTATAAATAGAAAACAACCAGTAGGTCACATACAAACAAAATCAACAGGTGCAAAGTCCGAATCATGATACGAATGTGTGTCAATTTGTGCGAATTAAAAGTTATCTTATCGGTTAATAGTCTCAACTAGCCAAAAAATACGGTTAATTAAAGATATACCAATATTACTAATACATATGTGTGTCATAGAAAGCTTAGTACCTAATAGATAATATACAATACAACATACATCTGTTTCCGCAATTTATTACACCGATCTTGTCGCGACAAGGAAAAATTTCCGTGCTTTTAAGCGATTTTGTGAAAAATATATGGTATATATTGGCAGATAGTTGCTAATTACTCATAAGATAGGCCCCCTTAATTTAATTTATTGTCCGTGGTGCATAATCTTTTTCTTAAAGGTTTTAAACCTTTGTTTGTCACCTGTCATCCGCTTTGCAATGGAGGGAAGTCGAACCTTAATTTCGAACTCCTCCTATGTTCTTCTGATTAATTTCGTTGCGGGTCCAATGACAGTTTAACTTTCCCCCGGGACAAACTTGACCTTCATTGGTTGGGTTTTTGTGGCGGTCAAGCTGTAGATCCTGGCTACACAGGAGTTGCAGTGGTGGGAACGAGAGGTGGGAATAGTCCCGTACCTAATAGATAAAAGATTAGAATTACAATAATCTATGCGGATATAGAACCTTTGTGTACAGATAACAGACAACAGAAAATCAAATTAATCCTAGTAAGTGCCAGTATGCAATAAAAATGTATTGTCTGATTTATACATAGAAAACACCCAGATTAATACAAATAGCATGTTCAATATTCATGCACACAAATGTTTGTAGGTATTGTGTGGAGATCGAACCCGCGACCTCCTCTAGAATACAAGTAGGTACGCAAACCACTAGACTGGGGCACACCGCCGCGACACAAATAAGTAAGTAATTCTAATCTGACTGACCTACCCCCCTAGACTTGACAGTTCTAAAGCCTGGTCCGTGAGCACGTAGAATCCCGTCCAATGACCCCAAGCTACCCATCCCTATCGCTCGCGCGTAATTATGTTGCTGTCGCGACTGTGCGAGGGGCGCCCGCAGTGAGTGTGCGCAGTGAGTTTGGGAAGACCTTCGTTCCGGCATGTATTTCGAAGCGATCAAAAAGTGTCACTTGTCTAGGCCCGCTGAAATGATATAATAATCCGTACCAGTAGCGACCACGGACAGGAAGACAAGTGTGGGCCTCCCACTAGATGAAGCGACGATCTGGTGAAGGTCGCGGTAGGTACCTGGATGCAGCCAGCGCAGGACCATTCGTTGTGAAAATCCTTGGGGGAGGCATTTGTGCATGACGTCATTTGGCTGAAACGAAGAATACTTACCAATCTTCACATTGCAGTTGTCAACCTTGGAGTGATACTCTATGCTGATGTTGCGACCTCCGTCGATGCCTCTTGTCGATGGCTCTTCGTGGTCTATGTACAGAGGCCATTGAACTGTTGGAACAACAGACATTTGTTATGAACAATCAAGCTTTTGTACAAATAAAGATGAAAAACAATCAACAACAACAGACAACAGGTCAGTCACTGTGTAAAATTCTGTTTTGCATGTTTCAAAAGTTCAAACATGTTTAATTGGTTAATAAAATAAATATGTTGGTAAATAATGTAAATTGTAAATTGTGCTACAAATCGCATCTTCGGTAGAACAAAGCTACAATATTCTCGCTAACAATAATAACTTGCCTAAAATTTAGTCTTTTTATGCAAAAGATAAAATTAAAAGTACCGATTAAATAATTAATTAGCAGAGCAAGAACATATTGAGTGCAAAACATATCTGAAAAGAACTCTTCTGAAAACTTTCTCGAATATTTTTTAAGATTATTAGCAATTTGTATTGCACATATTACGAATAGTCCCGTTAGCCCCTCGTGTTAAGCTAAATAAGCTTGTGTTACGAGTGGGCTCACCACAACAGTCGAGCGGCGGTGGGATTCGAACCCGCGATCCTCGGATCTCGAGTCGGCCACTCCGACCCTTCTCCGTGCTATCGTGGCTATAAATTATACCTTTGTTTCTAAAAAAGGCGCGAAATTATAACAGACAACCAGTAAAAGATAATTCTTACCAAAATTAGCGAATATAAGATGCCGTCTAAAAGTCTTGGAGTACTTGAAGATCATAGGCACCACTGCGACATGGAACACGAACAGACCAGCTGATATGGCCGCGCCGAGCATCAACGCCCTGTCGACAAATAAACACGTCAATTAATCAATTCACGATGTTTCGAAGGTGACTTTGTGGCAATAAAGCTTCAACCACATCGCCATCGCCGGCGCGATCACGGCGAGATCATAGGCCAATGACAGGTCGCGCGGACTGTCATGGCAGAGTAAATACAAATGAATAGGTCATCTTCATAGAAACGCACCGAGCGCGGTACGTTTCTATGAAGGCGGAAGTACGGCGGCGCGCACGCACACACTGACAAAATTCGGCGCAACACCCCGCTAATCACCGCTAATCCACGCTAAATAATATTATATACTAGCTGACCCGGCGAACTTCGTACCGCCTTAGCGTAGAGATTTTCTTAATATTTTTTTCCGTAAGAACCATCCTTGGACTTCCACAAACATTTAAAAAAAAGAATGATCGAAATCGGTTCAGCCGTTCACACGTGATGCCGTGACAACGCGAAACGGGTTTCATTTTTATATATATAGATAATATAAATTTTGTCAGTTTGTACGTGCGCGCCGCATACGTATTGGCGCGCTCACATACAAACCGCGCTCGGTGCGTTTCTATGAAGATGACCTACTCATTTGTATTTACTCTGGTCATGGGTCGCGCAAACTGTCATTGGCCTATGATGGCGCCGGCGATGACAATCTGCACGCGTTGGTGTGGTTGAAGCTTAAGGATTTGCCACACTTCTTCTTGTCGTGTCGACAACAAACCTACACAGTGTCAGCCCAAGAGTGGCGTTGTCAGTAGCCTTCATTAAATCTTCCAGCGTGCAGTTGTTTGCCACATTGGATACGGGCCTATTCCCACCTTTCGTTCCCACTGCGATTCCTGTGTAGCCAGGACAGGATCTACAGCTTGACCGCCAATAACCTAACCAGTGAAAGTCAAGTTTGTCCCGGGGGAATTAAACTGTCATTGGACTCGCAACGAAATTAATCAGAAGAACATAGCCACATTGAATGCAGTCAGGTCAAAGTGAACATAGTCCGCATAATGTATGAGCAACAATGCCGGTCTCTCCTTCGTTCGTTTCAGCCGAATGACGTGAACTCCTTTACAAAGGCCTCCCCCAAGGATTTCCACAAAGACCGGTCCAGCGCCGCCCGCATCCAGGCACGTCCCGCGACCTTTACCAGATCGTCGGTCCACCTAGCCTGCCTACCTACATTACGTCTTCCGGCTCGTGGTCGTGGTCATCATCGATCGTGGGAAAAATCCTTGGCCTTGGCGCTACCAGCGTCTAGGTGCTTCCCGCGACCTTCGCCAGATCGATTGGCCACAGAATACATACATGAAAGAGTTAGAAAGATACCTTTATTGCACACCTCACAAAATTGACAAAATGAATAAATTTAAATACACACAGTTTCGATAGACTCATCATTAGGATGCGATTTCTTCCAGACAACCTAGGTAGAAGACAGTAAAGATTAAAAAAAAAAATGAGGTAACAGGGACATAAAAATTGTTATAGAATAACCATTATGTAATTTTTGGTAATATGGGAATTATGGGATTCAGCTTGATATTATTTATTATTTTAATTTAGTACATATTTCAGACATAAAATTTAAATAATTGAAAATATTGTTACAAAACTTAAGTTAGAAGATGAGGTTGGGAGTATTATTACCATTGTATAACTATTATGTAAGTACTTTTGAGACAAGTTCATCTTCTATTTAATGTCAAAAACAACATGTAGAAACAGGATCTAAGTGTCAGACTGGATGACTCATAGATCCCAGTCAAAACACACCAATTAAAAAGTAAAGTTCTGAATCATAAACTTTGGTTAATTAAACGCAAACAAATACGCAACAACAAATTGAAGATACCGACCATGTATTGAGCTGTTGTCAACATATTTTGTGCTCGTGACCTGATAATTTAATTTTGTCCAGACAGGTAAACAGTTTGAAGGTCAAATTTTATCATATTTATAATTGGGGAAAGTTTAAAAGATCACACTCAGGATAAAATCGTACATAGTCATACTTATTTTTGACCCTATGACATTTAACATAAAAGTAAAGGATAAACGGAAACTTACTTTTTGTTTTCATTGCAAAGTTTAAAACTTCTGCCAACATTATTTAAATTGACATAAGTATAGGAATTCTATGTTTAATTTATTAAATAGTAATGGATAAGTTACTATTTTATTCATTACAAAGCACAGAACCAAATTTCATACATTTTCACAAAATGCTGACTGTTTAAACATGAAAATTTAAATATTTAAATAGTCAACAGTAGACTAAATTTTTTATGAAAAATAGTCCCATTTAGTACTGCATGTGTAATCACATGTTTAATTTCAGTTGGCTGTACAAACAATTGACAATAAATGAATGTTGAATTACTTCACAATTTCATTAATTAATTTTTCTTAAATGTTACACAAAAATGTTCTTCCATATTAANCACCCTCGGTAACCTTTGTCATGGAATGACCCTACTATGAAATTGTGAGACATGCCCTAAAAACTCAGGATGTAATATTTTCATCAAAGGGCACTACCTCCACAGTCGTCTTGATCAATTCCCAGAGAATCTTGGGTCACTATAGCATGCTATAGCTAAGAACAGGGAGAGCGATGCTATCAAGACCTAAAAACCATTGGAAGAGAGGTACCAAGGCAGATGGGATAGCTATATGATGGCTGATTACTGCTGGAGGATGTAACGTGATAGTTCCATTACACCTCATTCACAAAAGTCGTGGAAAAGAAAGTTTTTAAGCACTTCAAAATATTGTAAACGCTGATTTTGGTGAAATTTTGTATTTTTCTATACACGTCAAAATCTAGAAAACTACACGTAGGAAATCAACAAATTTGCTACTAAAGCAACCAGTATAAGGTCCTTAATCAAAAAATATTTACAGTTCCTTGGCACCAAAACCACTGTTGACCAGTGTAATNGTAAAAACGTATGATAATTACGATGATATAAGTCAAAAGAAGCTATAACAATAAATTATATGACTAAAATCATTTCGAAATCTGCCAAATTCTCGATTTCTGCATGAAAAATGTGACAACGCTCTTAAGCAAATTTCTCTTAAGAAAAAGTGTTCAGACAGTTATCTAACGTTATTAGTTGACAATTAACTTTCTAAACTATTGCATAATCTACAACACATTTTAGGTCATTCTAGGTTATTAAAAAAAAGTAAAATTAAGTATATTCTGGTTTAAAAATTGCTGGATTACGCGTACTCTTTTTGAAGAGTATTTTATACTAAAAATATTGATCTAATTACTACTTACACACTTTATTCCTTCTTTATAAGATGTTTTTACCACAATACAATGGAGATATTTTTCTGTCTATAAAATAATGTAAAGCGATACTTACCCAAAAGTATACAACGGCAGGCACACCAATATTCCTTGTAATACTACCATTTTTGTGAATATATTTGTTAACTGCGAAAATTAATCAAACAAGGATTGCAAACCACAAAATTAATACAATTATTACCACACTTGTTAGTAAATGGACGTTAAATGTTTTGTAAACCTTTAAATATAATACTTTAGCTACTTTAAATGATTAAATAATTAAAAGACCAAATTAAAATTAATGCGCAAACGGCATGCAAAACAAAATACGAAAACTACGTTATACTAAGAGCAGTGTGTGTTCTTCACTAACATTTTAATATTTAGATTATTTTCGCCAACTTGTTTTTATGTTGCTGGTTTTAATTAAGTTACTATCACGAGTTTATTACGTTGAATTGAATGAAGTCCGTGTTTTTTGCACCTTCGAACTTTTGACGTGCAAAGTTGAATGACACATTGACTTTGACATAACGTTGACAGTGGCACTTGACAGGCGTGTTCCATTCTGTAAGTTTTTTTATCACATTTCACATTCACAGCTTCACCGTTTCTACTTTTATTGCTTGATTTTGCTCAAAGAGGTCGCTGTCTTAAACAATTAAAATGCCAGCAAGGCATTTCTTTTTAAAATCAGCATTAATAAACAATGTGACAAAACAAATGAGCTAATGTTTGTTGTAATTTGTTTATCTTTCTTTCTACCTACTCCCTGATTCCCTTACCAGGCACTAAAATAAGTACCTACAAACACCTACTTACAAACATTTTAAAGATCCTGATTTTTGATGGTGCAATTTTAGGTATTAGCCTATTTCAATGTTTGTTTACCCCAAGGGTTGATTGGGAGAAAAGGCCATTTAGTGTTTAGCCCACCTTTGGACCTCGTGCCTCTATAAATCAAGACAGTGTCCAGATTTTTCGAATAATGAATCAGAATGCGGGATTGAAATTAATCACATTAGAAGATGATGAAGAAGGGAGTATTAAATATAAATAAATAAATAAATAATAGCACTATTTCCATCGAATAATTTATTAGAGCTAAGTAGGTACTTAATCACTCGTATAATGAACATGACGTTTATACGTTAAAAGTTGTTGACAAACTATAAAAGGTCAGTCCCGGATCTGCTTTACCTATGTATGTATATCTTTGTCATGGGATAAACTCTAAGTTAGATAAAATATCTGTCTATCTCAATGTGACAAGGAATACTTAATCCCGCTGTGCAGTTAAAGCTTCAATCACTTAATTACATCATAATGATTTTATATTAGGTATTGTATTTTGGTTATCACCACGTAAATCTTGGTTTTGATTTCCAGAACAGCCTCCTTTTCTTCCTTAGAGGCATTGCTTGCCCGGTATCCTTATCAAATATCTCCAGTTTTGGATCAGTAAAGCACCGTATTTCAATTTTCTCACTCGTCATTATTTCGTTCGGAATTTTACCAGCCCGCATGATATTTTCAATAGTAGGAGACCAGAAGTGGTATTTTCCGTACAAATTTTCATAATCACCAATAATATTGCCAATCATTCTTGCTCTATAATCAATTTTTAGTACAAATATAGTTTTTGTAGCGGTCAATTTCTTGACAAAAGTTTGTCCGGGCTTCAGAAACAGGTTTCCGTTGACGGATTTGCCGAACTTCACGAATTTACTTTTCAAAGAGCTATCTCTCCATTTATTTTGATACTTGAATTGGCTTCCCTCATAATTGATATTGACGTCGTAGAAAATTTCTTCATCCGGCATACCTTTAGCGGACCAAGTAGAGAAAACGTTGGTTTCGACGTTTTCAAATAGTGCCCTTTCTATTTTGATGTTGTCAGTGCAGTTATTTTCAATCTCGTGTATTCTAAGCTCCACGTTCTGGTTAATTATATCTGTTAATTCCATCTTGTGCACTTCCAGATGTCTCTGAACTTCAGGCCATTTGTATTTGTGGAATAAATTGCCATACGTCGTTGGGTCCTTCAGGAATATACCATCAGGGACTCTCCCTAGCTCCACCCTCATTCCTCGATTTAGATTAGCAATTGTTATATTGAAAAGATCAATTTCGTGTTGTGTTACCAGTTTGTTATCTTGACCAGCGTATTGAATAACAGCTTCATGTTTATTCGATGCTACAGTTATATTTAGTTTAATTTTACCATCACACAGCATTGGCACGAGAGTTAACAGCAATTTTAACAACATTTTTGACTTTCCGTCCTTAATTTAAATGATTTTATTAGAGGAATAACACGTTATTAATCTGTTAGACGAGTTATTTCAGACTGGTGATAATAATTTGTTGTAAGTAAAGTTATTAATAATTAAAATCGTATTTCAATAAGAGATAACAAACAGCCCATTGACGAATGCGAAGTAAGTAGTAATAATAATAGCTTGTTTATGTAATGACGTTATTAAAATAAAATTGTATTTCCTAATAATATTATTCCACAAAATCATATTGTCGTCCAAAGTTGGACAAAGAAGATTTGTACATAGCTATGGCTGAAAATCAATTAATCAAACTCAGAGTTACTTATTTGGAGATTATTTTGTTGGAATACTAGCTATGTAAATTACTGTGGGTTAAGAAAGAGCATCATGACCCTCTTTAATTTACCTTGACTTCCCACCCTGGCCAGATGGATTGGTGATCGGGAGTTTCGGGAGGCTGAAAGTTCGCAAATAGTTTTATCAGGCAGAGCCGCGGGAAAAAGTTGTGAATCTACTGTAAATAAACATTAATATTGACCTTATCCCATCTTATCACGGAAGCGACAGGTCAAGACCTAGATGAGATATACGATTAACAATATAAATACCGCGGTTTTGTTCGCAAAGTAAAATGGTTCAACGTCGATGGAAAAATCATCTTATAGGTACGTAATATGAATTGAATTTCAAAATAAAGTTGATAATCAAGTACTATCTATGATAGATTATGATAGATGAAGTAGTATGTAATCAAAGTTGCAGACGGTCAAACAGAAACGTAAAATATTATTCACCTATTACTTAATGATATTTCATTCACTTGATAAACTTACAGACAACAAGGCTATTTTTGCAAATAAAGATAAAATTACTTTGGACACCAAAAGTTCTCAGAATCTTTTTAATAATAACGCACTTTGGGCATTACAATTCCCCGAGTATACTGAATTTAAGATTATAGTAGTATATTTAAGTTTAAAACTTTGTAAATGAAGGAGTATTAAAGCGTTTGCGGGAAAAACTACTAAAATGAGGTTAGCTCAGTGTGTTTTGCTATTCATCTGTTTAAAAGTAATTAATGCAAAAATAAACATAGATGTTACAACGAACGCTGACAATGATGTAACAGTAAAATATTCTGGAGTGAATACTAATGTGATTACACAAAATGAGATCAATATATTCAGGGTAAATACAATGAATTTGAATAAGGCGCTGAAGAAATATTACGGTGAGAAAACAAGCAATGCGTATTTAAAAAGTCCGACGCCATGGGGGGATTTGTACAAGAAGTACCACTGGGAACAAGTGAAAAAGGTGTTGTCCATAAAATCGGCGAGGTTGAAGAGCATCAACATGAAGCCAGTGGTCGTCATGTCGCAGAACTTCGACAACTACTCGAACAAAACGATAAAAGTGAATACAGGTTTGAGTCAGACAGTTGAAAACACGTTTTCGACCACCTGGTCGAAGACCACCGAATTCACAGTCAGCCAAGAGGTAGAATACGATGTGAACGTCATTTTTGCCAAAATCACTGGAACGACCGCGTTTTCGTTTACGACTGCATGGGGAAAGGATGTGGAGAAGTCTGAAACTATCACAATTGGAACAACTACTAATATGGAGACGGAATTGGCGCCAGGACAAGGGTGCACCGCGGTTTTGTCTGCGAACAGGGGGTATTTGGAAGTTGAGGTGGTGTATACTGCTTTTTTGAGGGGGAATGTGGCTGTGAACTTCAAGAATGGGTATAAAGGTCACCATTTCTGGGGCCCGCAGATCAACAAGGTCATGGAGGCTGGAGGCTTGAGGAATGAGATCACGACGGTAGAGACGATCAAGGTAGGAGTTTACGTGGACTCTTCTTTGAAGGTGTATGACAAGGCTAGTGGGAAACCTCTTTGAATTATAATATGTATGTCAGAATATCTATGAGTGTTTTATTTGTTGCATGATCCGTTGTATTTATTTGTACTAATAAATAGGACGTATTGAAGTACCTAGTCTGTTTTTGGCCCAACTTAAAATCAAGCACAAGGCGAGATTGTCACGTCGCTACAAAATTAAACCCACCTTTTTAAATACCGTAATCTTTTTAAAAACTGTTAAATCTTCAACTTTTCATTGACAACGCCATTCTTATACCGGAGTTTTGGGCTGATGCTGTGTAGAAGAGTGTGTGTGTGAGTGGCAAGAAGAACTTTTCATTTTATTGTAAGTAGGTAAGTACTAAGTAGACTAACATTGCCGCATTACAATATTAAGGAAGGTCTACCACAAATTCAAGTATCTATTCCAACATTTCCAACTGCATATAAGATCCTCCAATCAATTGGTCCCAAAGAACTAGATCTTATTCTTAGGTCAAGGCAAATGAAGCCTTAATAGCACTAATCAATTCACCATCGAATAAAGACCCGCACACACTTAGTGGCGTTACGCAACAATAGATCTTGATACGCTGGTCTATTAAGATAATGACATTGCAAAGATTTGAGACAACCTGCCAAGTACCATGTATGTAATGTGTACATTAGGGTTGTTATGGATAAGTAGTTTCGATTATGGATACGGTTACGGATATAGGATTAATATTATACCGGTTTCGGTTACGGTTACGGATATTTTTTTATTTCGGATATCCGAAAGTTTCAGTTCAGTCTGCACATATTTGATGTACTTAAATTTGACTATTCTTACCGTTAGATAATTCCTGGCAATAAGTGGTGACTGAGTTTGTTCCGGCGTTTCTTCTCAGCACTTGCCATATGTTTGTCTCGAAGCGCTGGTAGGGCCCAAAAGATAAAGAGACATGTAAAGTGCCCCATAAGGGCTACCTTTTCTTTTTTTATTATTTTCTATTGACGTTCATAAGTGCCACTTGTGCTCTAAACTGAATAAATATTTTTTGATTTTGATTTTTCGGTTCAGGTTACGAATATCTGTGCTTTAGAATGCAATTTGCAATAGTTGTCTAACACGGTTCATTCATGGCCGCACACTTTACATCGAATAAAAAGTAAAAAATAATAATACTATATGGCATTATAAAGGTAAATCAGGCTGTTATGCCTTTACATAATTATGATGCTATACAAAAAACTTTTTAAACTGCATACATCCGAAACTATCCGAAACTTTTGAATCAGTTACGGTTTCGGATATTTCTTTATTTCGGATATCCGAAAGTTTCGGTTACGGTTACGGATATCCATAACATCTCTGGTGTACATCTTATGGGTTAATTAAGTTGTGACTATGTGAGCAGGCTCTACCAAATAGAATGGTTTAAACGGAGGTTAGGTAACCACTCTTTGGGTTTGCGAATGCTGAGTCTAGCTGGGTAGTTTTTTTATTTAGGTCTTTACAATTCTTCGTCGTCGACGTCGACCGACAAGGTGGACCGACCTCATAAAGGTAGCAGGACACCTCTTCAGTCTACTTATTACACTGGTCAACAAAAAATCAAAATTAAAATGGTGCCGAGATTCTGTTGATAGTTTATTATTAGGTGTGTATTAGTAATAATAAAAATATTTTTCTTTTTTTTTCCTACGTGTAGTTTTTGATCTACCCTCAGTTTTAAATTTTAGCTTTAATCGGTACTTTGGTTGCACAGTTTGTAATGTTATCGGTATATTTTTATAACGAAATTTATTTTAATATCATGTCTGCATTGCCAAGAAGTTGCCTCAACGATCCAAATGTAATTTGTTACATTTGTGATGTGTACACAGTTAAGAATTTCAAAAATTTAGACAAAATTTTAATAAAAAGTGCTTATTTTTCTTACTTTAAGTCGGAAATTGTAGTTGTATTCAAGCCGTGGATACCCGAAATTGTTTGTATAATCTGCTGTGAACACTGAGGCAATGTTTCAATGGTCAAAGAAGTCAAAACATGAAGTTCAGAGTGGAAAAAGTGAGGAAAAAACAAAAAAAAATCCTGGTTTGAGCATGAAAAACGGTTAAAGCAGTAAATTTTTGATGGCCCACAAATAAGAATATTAATAAAAGATACTGATTTCTTAACTTTGATGGACGTTTGGAACGATTTACGTGGACTTCGTTCGTTGAAGTTACTAAAATTTTTTTCGGAAATCACAGGACTAGTAACTACTATGAAATTGTGAGACATGCCCTAAAAACTCAGGATGTAATAATTTAAATCAAAGGGCACTATCTCCACAGTCATCTTGACCAATTCCCAGAGAATCTTGGGTCACTATAGCATGCTATAGCTAAGAACAGGGAGAGCGATGCTATCAAGACCTAAAAACCATTGGAAGAGAGGTACCAAGGCAGATGGGATAGCTATATGATGGCTGATTACTGCTGGAGGATGTAACGTGATAGTTCCATTACACCTCATTCACAAAAGTCGTGGAAACGAAAGTTTTTAAGCACTTACACGTCAAAATCTAGAAAACCACATGTAGGAAATCAACAAATTTGCTACTAAAGCAACCAGCATAAGGTCCTCCATCAAAAAATATATACAGTTCCTTGGCACCAAAACCACTGTTGACCAGTGTTATCAGTCCTCTAGGTACTGGACTTGGGTTAGCCCGTATTCACAAACGATGCTTGCTTATGTGAAGCAGCAAATCGAACGCACAGCGTTGAATAGAGCTCGTATGTCACCCTGTGCATTCAGGAGCACTGTGAGACCTGATAGTAATGTTTGTGAATACGGGTGTTAATCTCCTGTTAATGAATCGAAAATTAGTTATTACTTAACTAAACTGTGTTTGGTACAACTCGCCCGTTGCATTTTTAGCAAGGCCAAAGAGAAGATGCACACGCTCCATCTTCAATACAATCACACAATATGCTAAGCAAACCTCGTCTTTAATGACTAAGCAATAAAATCTAATCAGTTATCAAACTTCTATTGACAACTGTACCAGCATGTAAAAAGTTCATAGGATTTTAAACCTTAATGACTCTAGAATAGGGATAAAAGTCATGTATGTGTTTTTGGTAGAGCTTTCGTTCTTTCGTCTTAATTTGGGATAGCTTTTGTATGGAACTATCAAATTGTTTTCTGCCCTTGCCCTTAATTTGTGATCTTTTTGGTAAACCGTGAAGGACAATACACAAATCAGTCCGTAATTTATTGTGGTTTAGAAACGATATTTTGACTCTCTTGACATTGTCCTGGGTTCGAATCCTGGGTGGAAATACTCATTATTTATGTACACTTTGCTGAATATAGGCCTCCCCCAATGACTTCCACATCGCACGGTTGGTAGCGGCCTGCATCCAGTGCCTTCCTGCTACCTTTATCAGGTCGTCGATGGCTGTGTCTGAAATGATGATGATGATGTACCTAATACTATGGTGGAACAAAAACTAACTTAAGCTCGCGGCTTCGCTTGCGTTAAACTTTCCCACTACCCTCGTTTTATATCCGGTGGCAAGCAGCATTTTCAGTAAAGCGTAAAGTGAACTACCGATCCGATACTTGCGATAGATTATCTCCACGCACAGTTACTTTATTGGATGCAGGTTGCCCTATACATGATCTGACACTTCTTTAAAATAAAATTAATGTTTCCTTTGGTTTCTTTCACACACGACAAAATGGAGTGGCGGATTTACAGATTAGGCGCCCGGGGGGGTGTTGTTGGATCTTATTTGACTGGCCTGGCGAACATTGATTATATTCGTATCCGAAATACGTACCTACTTACTTTATGTATGTAAAAAATAATTATGAACTAAAATTAAATCTGCCACCCCTTAAAATTTGCCACCCTAGGCTTCAGCCTACTCAGCCTGGTAAATCTGCCACTGGTCACTTCAAAAAAATGCAGATAAATGATAATAATATAGCTCACCCAACCCAACACCAATACCAGCAATATTATTATACCCTATCTTCGGCTCTCTGTATCCAGATTTTGCCTGAAACCAATTTTCAAAACAATGATTACTGTCAATACGCTATTTAAAAGATAACGAGTAACATAAGATGTTATTTAGATATTCAAATACCATCACTTCGATCTAGATTTCACAAAGCCCATCCTCTAACCACAGCCGATAAGTTCCAAGGACCCGCAATTGTCATCTCAAATCACTCGAAACTATAACAAAGCTTGATTCTTTCATGTAAGTGCCGGCGCACGCGCATTGAGCCTATCAAACTATAATAAACCAATACAACTACGAAACAGAAACATAGAACTTAAGAGTATAGAGATAGGGGTGCTTTTCGAAGTTCAAGAAGAAGAGGAGCAGCAAAGATAAGTTGGTTGAAAGAAGACATTGTCAAGAGTTTGTTAGTATAAATAGGTGAGAGGACTCGGTCAGTATCATTCAATGTTTGTGGATCGAACTAACATCTACAACAGCTAAGGGTAGGTTGAAGCTCATCAAGCTCATAAAAAGAAAATAAACTAAGCTTTTAACGCTAAGTTCGCTGAAAACTGAAATTGTATGACTGAGAAAGGAAAATTTTTATATTGTTTTTAATACATAAAAAAAACTTAGTAATTCTCATTTATTATTGCAGATTATCCAATTGATCTCTTATTCAACAACAATATGAAGGTAAGGCTACAACAATCTAATACAATAATTAAAATTTATTATTTGTGTTACTAAAGTAAAACTACTAATCTGTCTTTTTTCACTTTTCAGGTTTTCATACCTCTACTTTGCTTACTATCCATCTCATTTGCCGAACCTCCTGTAGGGTAAGTATTCAGAAATGTTAACTATATTATTTATACCTACCCACTCCAACAGTTTTAGTAATTAGTAAACTACTAATCAACAAGTAACAAGTTAGTAACGATCTGATCTTTTGATTCTTCATAAAAGAAATCATTTGTAATAAGAACTTCCTATAAACCTCATAAAACTTTCCTTTTGCCTTACCTTACTTACCTATTTACTTCTTATTGCAGCGACGGTTATGCAGCAGCCCGATCAGGCCACGGGAGCCACGACCACCACGATCACGATCACGACCACCACGACGTCGATATCCAACGGTCTCTATCCCAGGAGTACGGAGCCCCGGCCGCTAGAAGCTTTGGATCTCGCAACGCATTGTCCCAGGAATACGGCCCCCCTTCGGCCAGGTCTGGCCTCTCACAGGAGTACGGAGTCCCTGGTCTCCGCAGTTCCCCATCAGACACCTACGGAGCACCGTCAGCGCGTGGACTGAGTCAAGAATACGGCGCGCCTGCAGCAAGAATTTCTCAGGAATACGGACCACCCTCCGCCCGATCTGGACTTAACCAGGATTACGCGTCTGCCAGGAACAGCCTGTCCCAAGAATACGGAGCACCTAATGCTAGAGCAGGACTATCTCAGGAATATGGCGTCCCAAGTGCCAGATCAGGCTTGTCCCAAGAATATGGTGTGCCTAATGCTAAGTCAGCACTGTCCCAAGATTACTCTGCTCCTAGTGCCAGATCTAGCCTGTCTCAGGAATATGGTGCCCCAGGCTTGAGATCTTCAGATTCTTACGCGTCTGCTAGGTCTCCTTCGTCCACTTATGGAGCTCCTGACTTTCGCTCCGCTCCATCTGCTGAATACGGAACTCCATCCCAAAGAAGCTTCGGGTTCAAGTCTTCCCAAAAATCCAGCCCCGGCTTTCGCAGCCCTCAGTTCAACCCCAACTCCATCTCCCAACAATACGGAGCCCCTGCTCGTAGCGCCTCGTCTCAGGGTTATAGTTCTGCTGCTAAGTCTTCCTTCGGATCTCGTAGCGTCTCCCAATCCTATGGGACCCCTAGGAGCAGCCCTTCCCAATCCTACGGAGCTCCTGCCCGTTCCCTTTCCTCTCAATATGGCGCCCCTGCAAGGAGTTCTGACTCGTATTCTCAGGGATTTAGGTCTGTTTCCCAGACTTATGGTGTGCCCAGCCAGCGAGGATTGTCCGACACCTATGGCGCTCCTGAGGCGAGGGGCATTTCTCAGGAGTATGGCGCTCCCTCGGCCCGAGCTAACTTGAAGACTAGTGCTTTTGCTTCGCCGTTCTCGGCTAGGTGAGTTTTGAAGTATCATTCATCATCATCACTATCATCATTTCAGCACTAGGATGTCCACTGCTGAACATAGGCCTCCCCCAGTGATTTCCATGTTGATCGATTGGTAGCGGCCTGAGTCCAACGGTCCACCTTGAAGTATTATTGCCATTTAAATATTTTTGAAACGTCTAACACAAATTGCTGAAGTGACAGTAGACAGTAACCACAATCAATACCCAGTTTTCTTTAAAACTAGTACATTCCAACTTTGGATCATAAAAACCCAATCTTCTCCAGGTCGTCTCCATCTTCCACGTACGGTGCGCCATCAGCTCGCGACGCCATGCCCTCGGACCAGTACGGAGTGCCTGAACAGTACAACGCGCTCTCCAGCCAAGGTTACGACTACGCCAGGGATGCTCTGGATGAGCTGCTGAACCAGGTATTTGATATTTGAAACTTATTTTTGGGAAAACAGAAGGCTGATTTTAATTTAGTTAATCGTGGGAACTGCGGCAATCTTAGTTAGATTTTGCCAAGAGACTAAAGTCGGCTTTTTATTTTCCTTCGCAGAGCACACTTTTCTTTTTAAAAATAAGACTGAATAGAATATTATTTTTAACCGACTAAAAGGTTGGTTAAAGTCAAAAATGTCTTCAGTACATTGCAGCAAGTGATGACGTAGATAATTAGGACAAATGTTAATACTAGTTTAGTTGTTGAAGTCATATAAGGGTTCTAAAAGGGCTTCTAATAAAAGTCTCCCCATTTAGTACACTTCGTTTCAGCCGAAAGACGTTCACCGCTGGACAAAGGCCTCCCCCAAGGATTCCACAAAGACCGGTCCTACGCCGCTCGCATCCAAGCACCTCCCGCGACCTTCACCAGATCGTCGGTCCATCTAGTGGGAGGCCTGCCCACGCTACGTCTTCCGTCTCGTGGTCGCCACTCAAGAACTTTCCTGCCCAGCGGGCTACACTTACTGCTAACTTAAATCTTAACTTATTACGTGGGTATTTTATCAATTTTCAGCCGCTAATCAATAAGTATGTGTTTGTACCAGGAGCCAGCCAACTATGACTTCGCCTACAAAGTCAACGACTACCTCTCAGGCAGCGACTTCGGCCACACCGAGACCAGGCAGGAGAACCGTGCTGAGGGCTCCTACTTCGTCGTTCTACCTGATGGCACTAAACAGGTATGTCTAAACTTCGAATTTGGATAGGAACTTGTTTAAAAACACTTCACTTAGTTGTATAATCTCGGATGAGATTTTTAGTTGCCTTGAAATCGACACGTCTAGTTAAGTCAAGGGATCTCAAAGAGTATTGAGTATTGAGCTCAAAAAGTAGCAAAGAACATTAAGGGTTAGGGGAACAGTTGGTAATTTTTTCTGAAGCATGCAATGAATTTATGACATCATAATAATGTTATGGGTACACCTTTTTGATTGGAGGCTCTGTCTACCACACAAGGGACCACACGATATTCGACCTAGAGCTCTTCGAATGTAGAGTCTATTTACCGCACACTATAATTATTAAACCTATTTTTTTTTAATTAAAATTCTATCTACCGCGTGTGATATTCGGCCTACACCTATTTGAATGAAGAAGGCCTAGATCACACACGATTTTCAACCTAAATGTCTATGAATGAAGGCTCTATACCATGTTTTTTTAATCGCACAAAATTCATACTACAATCTGTCCTTTATTTTCAGGTGGTGGAATACGAGGCAGACGAACGTGGCTTCAAGCCCAGGATCTCAGTGGAGCCTGCTGACGCTTCAGCGCGCTCTGGTGGATATGACGAGAACGCTGCTGACCTAGCTCGGTCTGGAGATGGACCTTATTAAAACAGACATAAGGGTCATTTTAAACGAGCAACTATAGCCAACTAACGCGTTAATGTTTCAGCAATTTCTTCCAGTTTTTTGGTCGAAAAAGTCAATTTTTTTTGTAGAAATCTAGAAGCAATGTTTTTGCGAACCTCACGCAATATTGTTGTTGAATTAAAACAATATTGATGCTACATTGAGGCAATATCGCTTCCAAATTAATGAATATAGTGTTGGAATGTAACGAAAAAATAATGTCTCGATAAAAAGGCGACAACCTTATAGAGAGAAAAAGCTTTCGTATCACAAACTTTTTGAAGCGTATTGATTTAACGGGAACAGGAAAATATAGAGAAATGGTTATATTAACGTAAACAGGTCAATCTGTTTACAAATTCTATTTTTATACAACTTATATAAAAAATTNATTTTGTTTAGAGTTATGTCTTGAAGTTACGAGATGTAATTTGAGAATCTGTTTTAATGTTCTTAATTGATGAATCTTCGAAGATTGAATATACGAAAGATATACTTATATGTTACGAATTCTTCGAAGATTATTAATTTTCTTTTTCATTCTATAGAAATTAGACAATATTCAAATTGATTATTGTTTAAAACGAAATTGTTTTTTTTAAGATGGCTTCATTGACTCTAGAATAAAAATTAAAAAATTATAAAGCTTTACGAACGAACGCAATTTACGAATATTAAAATTATCTTTTTAGATGATTTATTTATGAAACGACGAATTGAATACGAAACGAATAACGAATATGATTACGAATTATGGATCGATGACGAACGAAATACTCATTATTTATTGTTTTTTAGCAAATGAAAAATGTAAAAAAAATATACCTCATAGCTTGTAAGTCGCTTGTGAGATAGAATAATTTAGTGCAAATATACAATGTGATGTTTTAAATATTTAATTTCTTTTAATATCTATCCATCCTTCCCTTCCCAAAAACTCTTTAGTCACATCGATAGGTCTTGCTACTAAAATGTTGTCACATAACTTGAAAGTGTGTTACAACAAGATTTAAAACGAAGACTGAAGTCTGGGTTGCACCATCTTACTTACTTGAAGTTTAACAAACGTCAAAAATCTGTCAAAGTCCATACAAAAAGCACCGGTTATCGTTAAAGTTACGGTCAAAGTTAGGTGGTGCAAATCAGTTTTTAGATCCACCTCTTGATCATACCTTCTACTTTTTACAGTTAAGTTGAAATAACAATTGTAATGGAAACCACCATAATTAACACAAAAAACGCACATGGCATGGCATAATTATTCATTTACAACAATATGTGAATACATTTTTTTTTTTTTTTCGTTGATCACGTTCACGCATTTGTAGTTAGTTACTTTGGTAGTTCTAATAATTTCAAGAAAACATGTACACAACAACACATTTTATTTTGCCCTTAATTGTTGTCTCTACCAAAACCAAACCCTACTTGAAGAATTATCCTCGGAAAATTAAACTGAATTGGAGTTTTTAGCTTGAGCGTGCTCTTCTTTTAATTTAGAAAGCAAGTCTATGAGCTTAAAAGGCTATAAAAATAGGCTTAAGTAGAAAATGAGCTCGCGAAAAAAGATAAAAATCTCTAATTTAGAAATCGAGGATAAACCGCGTAGGGAGTGCTCTCTCCTTCGTGGTTGATTCCTGCAGAAACTAAATGACAATAATGATGATTTGAAAATTATAATTAACTTAAAAAAATCGAACTAATCTAAGGCGGATTGAACCCACGACCTTCCGCTTGCCGGGCGACTGCTCTCCAACTGAGCTATACTTACTTAGACACTGGATGAACCCGTCGAAATAATGATTGATTAAAAAGATGTAATTATAATAATACGCTAGGATTCTCATGTAAAACGTAGCTGCGTAGGTCTCGACTCGATTTTCGGGTCCTAAAACCTTTTCTAAATTTTCTCACCTCTAGGTATGCAGGCAGGGAGATGTGTGTTATCGGAATGTACCAACTCCAAGGCAAGGATTCAATTTAAGATTCCAATCTACAAGCTCTAACTTCACAAACTCTACACCCTAGTCAAAGTGCTTTTACCATAATATAGGTACCTACCTATAGTTAGTTTTGCAGGGCAATCGAATACCGCACTTAGCCTCATGATAGGGCCATTGTGCGCGATTTGTGGTTTATCTTCCTACTCCAACCACCCCAGATCCCCCCAGAAGGCGAGCAGCCCGTCCAGGCTGCTGCAGGCTTCCTGTAGCGACGACGGTGATCGAAGAAATTGAGCCCGTTGTTCTTCCACGCTACTGCACTCCATGAGCACATGCTGCGGTGTTTCCTCTGCCTCCATGCACCCCCTGCACAGTGGGCTGTCTGTGACACCTATGTTGTATAGGTGCTTGTTTAGCATACAGTGTCCGGTTATGACACTTAAGACCTTGCGGATGCTGTCCCTGTTTAGTCTGATGAGGCTGCGGGAGAACTTTTTCGATACGTCCGGAACCGCATCTTTTGTTTGCCTGCATCCTTCGCTATTTTTCCATTCTGTGTGGTGTTTTTCTTCTGTCAGGTACCTACCTAAATGTTCGAGTAAACCTAAAACCAACGCTTGCAGCATGCGTGCGCGATGGCGATGGCGATCAGTAGAAACGATAAATCAGTAGGATCGCCATCGCCTTCGCGCACGTAGGCTGCATGCGCGTTGGTTTGGCTGAAAATGTGTTGACTTTATGTCGGAGGTTTTAATCCTTTATTTGTCACCCGCTTTGCAATGGAGGGAAGTCGAACCTTAATTTCGAACTCCTCCTATATGTTCTTCTGATTAATTTCGTTGCGGGTCCAATGACAGTTTAACTTTCCCCCGGGACAAACTTAACCTTCGTTGGTTGGGTTTTTATGGCGGTCAAGCTGTAGATCCTGGCTACACAGGAGTTGCAGTGGTGGGATCGAGAGGTGGGAATAGTCCCGTTTTATGTCGGAGGTCTTTATGGATAATATTATGACATCACCACGAAGCATCCGTGAAAAAATATTTAGGTTGGACGATTTTAGAAACCCTAATCCCCTTTTGTTCTAACTACTTAACTACAAAACTAGAAAATAATTATTCCTACTTACACGGCTGGCAGTTTTGCGCTGCCCGCATCCAGGTATCATAACATTGCCCACATACAGATGCTTCTCACATAGATGCGTGACCTTCACCAAATCGTCGGTCTACCGAGTAGGGGGCCTGCACCGCAACTTCCGGCTAGTCGAAAACTTTTCTGTTTTAAATAACATACGATTGACGAAAGGTTAGAATGCAGGGGAGCAGATGGGCAACAAGATTCTGGAGTGGAGGCCACGTACCGGAAAACGTAGCGTGTGACGTCCGGTCCACCCCAAGACCGAGGTCCCGGGATCGATTCCCGGCCGGGCAGAAATTGAAATGATGAATTTTAATTTCTGTGACGGGTCTGGGTGTTATGGTATAATATGTGTATGTATTAAAAAAAGTATAATAAGTGGTATATGATCCGTTAAGCTAGCATAATATTAGTTTCTTACTTTGGGGCTAGCTGGCTTTGTGTTTTTGTAAAAAGATTTTTTGATCTTTTTTTATCATATTTAGAAAAAAATTTGTAACTGAGTCGAGGTCAGAACCACACAACCTTCTCTCCCAAGACTTCCTTGGTAACGTCACGCTGCTCATTCATAAGCTCTAAGCTAAGGTCTGTAGACGTCACACGACGCAAACGCATCCTTGAGAGAGATTTTGGTAGAACAGAAGTGGCGTGGAGACTCAGTCGAAATATATTTTTTCTAACAATGATAAAATTATGTTCATGTCATTCAATACTCAATACTCAATACTCAATACTCAATACTTTTATTGCATAACCACATTAGCATTCACATTTATAGGTCTTACAATTTAGGCAGTTATACAATTAATTACATTCATTCATTTTAGTTAAGTATCATCAGTCTCTGAATTTGTCCAAAATTTTAAAAGTAACTTCGTAGTTAAATCGTAATAGGTAGGTATGTAGTGTTAACTCGTCTGATCGTTTCAGCCAAATGACGTCCACTGCTGGACAAAGGCCTCAACCAAGGATTTCCAAAACAACCAGTCCTGCGCATCCATGCTACTTATTACCACAGTCGAAACACGAAACTTAAATTAAATCCACAATAGGTAATAAATTAAATCCTAATACAGTAACATTATTATTCTGTCTGTACTGATACTAGAATAAAAAATACCGACGTCAGAGAAATGGGAAATTGAAAATCAGTCAATGAGTCAATTACGAAATAAATCCTCATTAACTAAATCTATACTAATATTATAAATGCGAAAGTAACTCTGTCTGTCTGTCTGTCTCGCTTTCGCAATGAACCGATTTTGATTAAATTTGGCAGGGAGATAGTTTGAGTCAGGACATAGGGTAGTTTTAATCCTGGTTTTTGAAACAGGGACGCGCGCGATAAAGTTTTTCTGTGACAGCCAAAATTCCACGCGGGCGAAGCCGCAGGCGGAAAGCTAGTGCTAAAATAAACTAGCAAAAGTTCAAAATCTCCATAATGAAACAAAGCTCCATCCGCGAACTGAAACACTTTTTTCTAGCTACAGCAGCTCCATAGCATCCTCTGTCCTCGCTCAGCACCTTGAAAGCTCTTCTTTTGTGCTTAATGAGCGACAATTTTTCAACCCCTACCTCGGCTGACAACGTGGTATAAAAGATCCATGAATGGTGACACAGTATCACTCGAGTGTCAACATCTGTGTCATTTGAAAACGAAATGAAGGTAGTATATAAATTGTGTTGTTATCTAAAGTTTAATTAACAGTTTTGTAATCAACGTAGTTTGTTAAAACAAAGGGTGTTAGTGATTAATAGACGCAAAGCTTAGAAACCTACCTAGCAGAAAAAATCTCGTTAAAAGAAAAAAAATTTAAGTTAATGTAATGTATTATTATAAAATTTATTCTCTAATAAATACCCAGTTATTTTTTAATTTAAACTGAAGCAAAGATTCAACCCTTACATTAGCTACTTTTCAATAGATTTAAACATGGGGTATTAAAAAAATGGGTAGAGTTTTTTTCATGGATCGCATGTTTTCAACAAGAATCTTTTCGAGAGTAATTTTTAATGTTAAAATTGCAATCAATAAATTTTTGTAAAATATGATTTTTAATACAGGGTTACACTTATCGTTTCAGGTCCTTGTAGCAGTTTCGGTTCTCGTAGCCTTCGTGTTGGCTGAACCCCCGCCATCCAACAGGTATCTAATTCTATTCAGTACGAAACATAACTCTCTTTCTGCAAAGTCGGGTAATAATGTTTTAGTTTCCGGTCTCCACGAACCAAATCGGCCGTCAGTTCTGCGTACTATGTGCCCTGTCCATTGCCACTTCAGATTGCTAATCAGTCGAGCTGTGTCAGCGACTTTAGTTCGTTTACGGATCTCCTCATTTCCGATTCGATCTTGTAAAGAAACACCGAGCATAGCCCTCTTCATAGCACTTTTTAATTTTACCCATAGTCTTTTTTTTATAATTATCAAACGCCCATTCACAAACGATACCTACTTGATTAAGTGAAGCAGAAAATTGAACGAACAGCGTTGAATAGAGCTCTGTGATTGCTCCCGCATGTCTAGAATATTAGCTCAATGTTGATATAGTCGATTTTATCCTAATGGAAACATGTAAGACAAAAATAAAATTTACAATATTACAGACCTTCTAGAGCAGATGCCGCGAAAACTACATATACAAGATATAGAAAAACTTTACTATCTCACCTGTAGCAAATTGAATAAGCTTTTTTTTGGTTCATAGTAGTCATGTCACTAGGACGTATAGTTTCCGAGGATTAAGTGAAAAACCCAAAAGTGGTACCTTTAAACCGCCCTCTCCCCACCGGCTCAAGGGCTAAGGGCGGGGATTTTTGCTATGTTAACCTCCTAACTAGTCTTAATAAAGTCCCGAAGTCAAAAATTGTGTTCCACGGATTTCCATCTACATAATGCTTAATTGACTGGACTAGTCGTAGATTACCAAACTTACAAATTCTTCTTACAGCTACCTGCCCCCACCATCCAACGGCTACCCCCAAGGGCCTCAGAGCTCCGCCCCCCAGGTGGTCGCAGCTAGGGCTCTGGACCAGGGCCGAGGCTCTCTAGCTAGGTCTGCGCCCCATGGGGCTAGCGCTGCTGCTGCTTTTGGCAGGTAAGATATCGTCATAATCCTACTATCCTACTATAATAATATAATAATATAATAATTATTAATAATTTAATAATAATATAATAATAATAATATTATAAATGCGAAAGTTTGGATGTCATGATTTCTGGATGTTTGGATGTCTGGATGTCTGGATGTTTGTTACTCTTTCACGCAAAAACTACTGAACGGAATTTGTTGAAACTTTACAGTATTACTGTTTATAACCCAGATTAACATATAGGCTATAATTTATGACGATCTGTGACATACTAAATTTCACGCGGGTGACACCGCGGGCAAAAGTAGTAGTACTCTAATACAGCTTAAAGATCTATGTATTAGAACTTTAAAGAGCACTTTTATGAGTCAAACATTTTTGTTTTAATCCTACCTAAGCTACCATCAGGTGATCCGTCTGCTCATTTGTCTCCTGTCACATAAAAAAAAACCTGCTTTGGATTGGAACATAATTAGCGCATAAAAAGTCGATCGATATGTTCCTACATTTTTATCGAAGTATATACCTACTCGAAGAAAAGTCCCTTCACCATCATCGTCAGGTCATTAAATCCACTAGAGAACAACCAACTCTAAAAAAACGCGATCGATATAATTTTATGTTCCTACATTTTTATAGATAGCATAGCCCTCGAAGAAAAGTCATCCTTTACCATCATCATCAGATCATTAAATCCACTAGAGAACAACCAACTCTAATATATCAGAGGCAAATGGAGGATTTGGTCTACACCTCAGGTAGCCTCATGATCGCATCCACGGAAATAATGGGGAGAATATTCTACTCTGCCAAAGCCACACGACTTAAGCAGGGTTGCACTATCTTACTTCGACTCTAACAAACGTCAAAAATCTGTCAAACTCCATATTAAAAGCACCGGTTATTGTTATTGTTACGGTTTTAAAATGAGGTGGAGCAACTCAGCCTAAGAGTTACGGAACCTCAAAGAAAAAGACTTATTCTGGGTGAACTTATATTTTATCATAGATCTTTGGGTAAAACCTGAGTAAATACAAATGAGTAGGTCATCTTCATAGAAACGCCCGAGCGCGGTTTGTATGTGAGCGCGCCAATACGTATGCGGCGCGCACGCACACACTGACAAAATTTAGCGTTGATTAGCTCGGTGCGTTTCTATGAAGATGACCTACTCATTTGTATTTACTCTAGTAAAACTGTGAAAAAGGATCAACCCATCCAAGGCTTTGTCTAACTCTTTTATGATTGAAATTCCAGGAGCAGTCCTCTAGGCCACGCTGGTCATGGTGCCCAGGGAAGGTTCGCAGTCAACCCTGAGCAGGGCTACGATCGCAACGCCAGTCCTTTCGGTCGGAATGCTTTGGAAGAGTCTTCTGTAAGTATTTTTATCTTCTTTAGCTAGCTCAGTTAAGCCTATGCGCAGACCACCGATTTTTAGTTGGCCGATAGTTAGGTCGGGCTGGTTGATCAGTATGGAGATGGAGATGTATGGAAGTGCGCACATTACACCGATTTGGTATCGGCCGATTCTTCATACAAAGAATCGGGCCCAACTATTGGCCAAGCAAAAGTCGGTGGTCTGCGCCTAGGCTTGCTTAGTTTTTTTGTCCTATAACTGGCACTTCGACCCATCTGGATCTTTTGGATCTTTAATCTTTTCATCTTGCTGTGATCTTCAGAAACTGCGGAATACTGTCATGATATTATGTCATTCGTGTGATGGATTTTCATTGTAGATTACATTTATTCATCAAAATTCATAATTTAATTTGCCATTTATTGTTGTATGAATTTTTCAAACTTTGTTCATTAATAACGACATCGATTCCCAAAGTTTTTTATGGGTGACCCCTTTAGTCAGACTAATGTAAAATCTATACTTATAATAAATCTGTAGAGAGGTCAATTCTGTACATGAAATATATTTTCAAAATAACTATCAGGGGGTGATTAGTGATCGATACTGATGCCAAAAATGCAATCAGTAAAATTTTTGTCTGTCTGTCTGTCTGTCTGTCTGTCTGTCTGTCTGTCTGTATGTTCCTTATAGAAACAAAAACTACTTGACGGATTTTAACGAAACTTGGTACAATTATTCTTCGTACTCCTGGGCAGGTTATAGGATACTTAGGAATTCCCACGGGCACGGGAATTAGCGGGAAAATCCTTTTGTATGAAAAACTACTTTAAACTGCTTAAGTTAGACGCTTGAAATTTCGCATGCAGGTACCTTAGTAAACTTAAAGCTTAGTTACAACAGGATATTGCAAAATTCCCACGGGAACGGGAGTTAGCGGGAAAAAACATTTGTATGAAAAAATCTAAGCCGCGTAAGATAGATGAAGGGGGTAAAACGGGATCCACGCGTACGAAGTCGCGGGCGGCCGCTAGTAATTAATATAGGGTGACAGGGATACTCGACCTATTCCTTGAAAGGGGTAATTTTAGAGATCATTAGCAACAAATAATAAATAAATAATAATAATAGTCTTGAAATCCTTGGGGGCGGCCTTTGTCCAGCAGTGGACGTCTTTCGGCTAAAACGAACGAATGAACGAACGTCTCCAGTATTATAGACTAACTTTAAGCTGTTCATGGCATTCTCTTACAGCGGTTCTAAATCTTCATAAAGGCTGGAACCTATAATTTATATAAGACAAAAGCCACTTGAAAATTGTATTTAAAACAATTTTATTATTCATGAACATGTTTATTTATTTAGTACCCAACTGAAATATGATTGAGAACACCCACACTTCCCAAGGACTTTAATTAATTAATAGCTTGCATTAAACAACAATAATAATAAATTATTGTCACAATTTTCATTGCAATGAACCAAACATCAACCATTATAGCTTTTAAACTTCTAACGATCAACGCTTACTAACAGTACAGAATAAGTATAAGTACTGAAACTATTAACTTTGAAAACTGTACTTAACTAGTACTTATACACATTCTGTAGGAACCAGCGAACTACAACTTTGGGTATATGGTGAATGATTACCAAGAGGGCACCGACTTTGGACACCATGAAGAGAGGCAAGAGGAGAGGGCGCAGGGAGAATACCATGTTGTGTTGCCTGATGGAAGGAAACAGGTAGGGTTTATTCGGTAACAAACTATAAAATTTTACTGTCCTGTCACGCTATATCATTGATCAAATCATTCATTTAATAAGCAATTTCAAAACTGTGATGAGGTTTTTTAGATACTTACTAGTCTTACTACCATAGTTTCGCAGGTAGCTCAAACGATGAATCTTCCAGCTACTTGGCCCACTTTTACCTTGGTCCACGGGCCAAGTCACTGGATTGAATGTTAAAATTTTAATATATTTTCTTCAGGCAAATAGGCCAGCTCTAAGATTCTAAAGTAGATTTTTGTTGATTTGGCGTTTAATATATTATTTTAACCTTGAAGGTGGGTCCAGTTGCTGGAAGAAAATATTTAAATATTCAAACCGGTGACTCGACCCGTTGACCATGCTAAAAGTGGGCCAAGTCGCTGGAACCTATAATGTTACTTATCATAAATATTTTTTTCAAAATAATAAGTTAAGCCAGTTAAACATGTAACTCGTCATACTCGTATCAAATCAGTAGTGCAGATTACTGTAAATCTATATAAATAAAAATGAATTGATGTTCGTTAGTCTGATTAAAACTCGAGAACGGCTGGGCCGATTGAGCTGATTTTGGTTTTAAAATGTTTGTCGTAGTCCAGGGTAGGTCTAAACGGTGAGCAAATACGCGCGCGATATTGTTTTTCTGTGACAGACAAAATTCCACGCGGGCGAAGCCGCGGGCGGAAAGCTAGTAGAACATAAATATACTATTGTAGCTGGATAGGAAGATAACAAAAACAGTGATTGATAATAACGTACCAATTTTTTCCAGACCGTGAGCTACGAAGCTGACGAACGCGGCTTCAAGCCACACATCTCCTACGAAGATTCCGAATCTGACCTGACCCGCTCCGCTGGATATGACTCCAACGCCAACAACCTACGCTCTGCCAACCACGATTCCGGCAGTCAAGGCTACCCCAACGGCGGTCACCATGGCAACAGCTTCTCGAACGGCGGGAGTCACCATGGCAACGGGTTTGCAAATGGCGGACGCCACCATGACAGCAAAAATGGCGCGCGTTCTGGCTACTGACTCAGATTCGAAGTTATTTTAATAATTGGCTTTGTATTATTTACTGCTTAGTATAAAATTATAGATATTTATTCTACGGGAAGCACAAGCAAGTACAAATTTAGTTGTAAGTTGCAAGAATAAGCGAGAAAATGCAAAAATATTCTAATGATTATTATAACCGTTAGTGCTAAGTATTTTTTATAGAATTAAATGTGATTATTTCAAAACGTCACATGTTTTTATTCAATTTCACGTCAAATTTTCTTGTAAAATCCCGGAATTTTAACGCCAAATGTTCATAGAAATGTTTTATTTTCAAAAGGATTCATTGGAAATGGATTTGTTTGATTAATAAAATTGTCTTACCATTGTCAAAATAGCAATGATCAGCATCTTCAATAGATGGTAAGTATTCGATGGTATTACTAGGAGAACGACATCCGACACTATGTTTGTCTAAAAGTGGTCTCAATTCCAGAACTTGTATTTTTCCTTTTGTATGTCTTACAATAGAATATAGCTGGACCACTGCTTAAGCTTTAAATATGACACCTTTAAATAGTGAGTAAATATAGGTATAATACCTACTACGAACATATTGAAAAACATCAGATATCAATTTGTACTCAAATACCAATCCAGCGTAAAATTGTCAAATATTTATAAACACTAATCAAGCAGACCTTGGAAACTTAATATAGGGTAGACTCTTATGACGTCACTTCCGGTACTCACTGACGTCATAGCATGTCAGTTAATGCAAATAATCAAATTGCGGTCAATCAAAGCAGACTCAAAATTGGGAATGATTTTAAAAAAATCTGTAAATAACAAATCCTTGGAGCATTCACAGTTTCTTCTGGTGATATTTAGTTTGGTATTTTTTATTATAACAGTAAGATATTTTTGACACTATTTGGTCTTTAAAGAAATTGATTTTTCATTTGAAAAAAGTGAAATCTACTTCTTGTTGTAACTAATAAAAAATGTACGTACTTTGCTTACAGGGTGATAAAGGTTTACAAGAAAATTCTCTAAGTACGGGAATATTCCCACCTCTCGTTCCCACCCCTGTAATACTAACTCCTGTGTAGCCAGGATCTACAGCTTGACCGCCAATAAAAACCCAACCAGTGAAGGTCTAGTTTGTCCCGGGGAAAAGTTAAACTGTCATTGGACCCGCAACGAAATTAATCAGAAGAACGTAGGAGTTCGAAGTTAAGGTTCGACTCGAAGATGCTCTAAGTAGAGTTTGATCGATACATTTTTACTTTGGAATACAGTGTCGTGCGTGATATACTTTTTTTATATGACACACATTAATTGTGTCCCATAATCCCATTAGAAATTAATTAAAGTAATTGGATTCTACCAAGACAAATCTGGCTTCAACCTTGGCTTTCAGTGCACACAATCGAATTTTCGCATTAATTGCACAGCCGATCTAATATTAATTATTAACCAAACATTTGTCTAATACAGGCCGTGGTTTACTTAACTCATTTTTTTCGGACATGGATCATATAAATTGGTTCGGATCTCCGAGAGTTCATCATTCGAGTCGTATTCCCAAAGATCTCAACTCATCATGAAGGTAATAACGTCAAGTAATTTAAAAACCTATTATTTTCCTTCTAATAATTAGATAGCTACCTACTATTAATGTTAATAATTTTCTAATTCATTTGTAAAAATCTTAAAATTATAACATCAAAAAGAATGCTTTGTTTTTGTATTTTGAAGTGTTATGAAAGATTTTCCGATTCCTCTTATCTTTTTATGCGTTATTCTTTAACAAACTATAGCAGCATAAATACTAAATTCACTTTAGTTATAGTTCTAGCGCTTCTCAGTCAGTGCCTGAGGTACTATGGAAGCGGCACGGGAGGTGTGTCATTGACATGACGTGACATGGCATACAAATCTGAAGTCTCGCTGACGTTTGACCCTCAAAATCACCCTCCAGTGCCGTTCCCGTACCTCAGGCTCTGAGTTAAGCGCCAGACCTATAGCTTTTAAGCAGTCTGCTCTGCTGCCGTCTGCTCTTTTGCCTCCTGTCACATAAAAAAAATGTGTTATGTTCTCTTAATTTTGTTATGTTAAGCTTTTTGATCTAAATAACTTATTTTGTTTTCCAATTGACAGGTCCTCGTAGCAGCTGTCCTAGCCCTTGGTTCGGTGTCCGCGCTAGGCTCAGGCCCATACCTGCCCAGTGGGTGGAGGCCCGATGGACCAGCTTTCTACCTACCTTCACAGCCAAGGGTAAGCCCGTCAAATACCAGTGAATTGAGACACAATTGGAATCAATTGCTACAGCGGTCTCTTGCGACCGCTAAGGTTAATACGGGACTATTCCCACCTCTCGTTCCCACCGCTGCAACTCCTGTGTAGCCAGAATCTACAGCTTGTTGACCGCCATAAAAAAACCCAACCAATGAAGGTCAAGTTAACCATTAGGGACTTAAAGTAATCTCACAGAAGACCGCTTAGGTTAATGTTTAAATGTAGTTAACCACCTTTGTGGTCTAGAAGCAAGACCACCTGCACCTGTTTCTAGAGAGGTCCTGGGATCGATCAGGCCCTTCACTGGAAGGGGACATTTTCTGCTCGGTAAAAAGTTAATAAAGGGCTTGTGATTTAAACAAAAAGCTAGCTACGACCACCACCTAAGTATGTAACAACATTGTTGATATTTTGACCAAACCAACCATCTTGAAGCTGTTGTTAGTAACTGCTTCAAACTGTCCGTGTATGGCGGGTCTAAAGTACTGACAATAATTTCTCTTGACAGCAAACGGTCGTAGCTCTAAAAGACGTGGCCCTTCAGGGCTCTGAAGGCTCAGGATCAGATTTCCTGAGAGAATATGGTCCTCCACAAGTACAAAGTCTTCCTGACGTCGCCACGGAACAGTCCTTCGTGGTGCTGGAAGCCAAGTTTGGTGAGGAAGAAGGGGTCAGTGTTGAAGCAGCCACCGAAGGTATGATATTGTGTTTTTGATAATATTTTTGCAATACGATGATTTGGTAAAAGTAATTTCATTAATATTTTAATTTACCTTCTTATACTCGTATTAAATCTAATCTACTCTTAAGGGACAAATAAATAATTATGAATGTGATTTGTCAGCATCCCCAAATGAATGATGTACAGATCTCGTAGGGAGTAAAAAACTGAAACATCGAAGGCCTTATTAAGATCTTTAACTATTCAAATATGAAACTATCGATTTTGACTGTTAGATAAAACAATTGCATAATATAACTAACTATTCATTCCTACAGTAAGCGAACTGAGGTCTTCACTGGTTGAAGAATCAGCAACCACTGAGTCCGTAGAGTCCGTTGAGGAAGTGACACAAGCCGAAGTAATTGAAGGCAGATCTCTGAACCTTGAAGTTGAAGCAGTAGCTGAAAAAGCCGAAGTAACCCAAGAAGTAGCTACTCTAGCAACGGCTGTGGAACAAGAAGTGAATGCGAAGTCAGAAGCTTCTGTAGAAGAAGTGAGTGCTAAAATTGAGACTGACGTCGCTGAGGAAGTTAAGGCTGTCGAAGAAGGAGTGAAGAACATCGCTGAAGCTATAGTTGGATTGGAGAAGGAGGTGGTTGCTCAACAGGTAAGAAAAAAGAAGAGAAATAAACATTGTTTATAACGTTTTACTAGAAGTATCTATAAAAGTTTGCTTTATTTATTTTACGAAATTTTAATAACTGCAATAAGTACATACTAATCAATAGTACCTACTACCTATGCGATATAAAGTTGAGTATAATTTTATTATAAAATGGTGATTATTTTTGTTACAGGTACAAATCTCTCAAGACCTAACTGCATTCAAATCAGTCGAGCAAAGTTCGGGGTAAGAATATCAATAATATTTATATTGCTAGCTATACCTTTTGCATTATTTTATATGCTTAGTCATTAAATATTGTTGCACAGAGCTGTGGTGCAAGTCCCAGAAGGATTCCTCGAGTATGGACCCCCTGGCTTCAAGGAATACGGACCCCCTAAGCAAGACGCTCTTCTAAGGAATGTAGAGGTAAGATTCACTTACCTACATAATTAGTTTGAATCCATTATTAACTAGCTTTCTAAGTTAAACCGGCAGACAGTGGTGACTGAGTTTGTTGCGGCGCTTTTTCTCAGCACTTGCCAAATGTTTGTCTCGAAGCGCTGGTAGGGCAAAAAAAGAATGAGACATGTATAGGCTCCTTAAGAGCATTTGACGATTTGCAAGAACTAATTTAATTAGTCTAAACAAATAAAGATAATTTTGATTTTGATTTTGATTTTGATTTTTTGAGTTTACCCGGCGAACTTTGTACCACTCATGTTGGTTCATCAGAAATCTTGTAGGGTTCTAAATCTAATGGTGAAAGAAATTAATTTATCAATATTTTCGGAGCGTATGTAGATGGAAGATTTTGGAATCTAAAAAGTTTTAAAAAGTAAGTTTATCTATACTAATCTATATACTTACTTACTTATACTTACTTACTTACTAATATNCGAAGTCGCGGGCACAGCTAGTGTAAAATATTACGTAAAGTTTCACTAACAGTTTGACATTTTAGGCCACAACATCTGAGCAAGAAAAGGTTGAAAACAACGAGACCAGAAGAAGGCGTTTTTCTCCTAAATTCAGGTGATACATTTTCAAATAAATAAGTCGAAAAGTTAAATTACTTTTCCAAAGGATGACAAATTAATAATGTACAATTCTATACACTTGTGTATCGCAGTGACCAGAATACAAACAAACAATTAATTTAATTATTATGTATGAGAGATCATTCTAATACAGATTATTTTTTACAGATCCACCAAGAAACACTGAAAAAAAGAAAATGCGACAGATTGATGGCTCCAAACGAAAAATGATTTGTATAATGTAATGCAGTTAAACCAGTATTATTTAATTATTATAATCACTGTAGCGAGTAAACAATGTGATAAATAATGTTAATAAAGTTCGTGAATTTAATGCAAATTGTACTTGTTTATATTTTTTTTTCCCTAAAAAACAACCATAATTAAAACCAAAATCAACATTCACAAAATAAAAAACAACACCTACTGCCGAGAGTTGGGGGAAAAATTAGAAAATAAAATAAAACATATTTTTAGCAACATATTATCGGTTATATTTCAATATAAACAGTTTACCTATTTATACTTACTAAGTAGTACATAATAATCATCTGATTATTTACATTAAATGTATAAAATTTTAATAAATAATTACTAAGCAAGCATTAAGTTACATTAACACTTATAAATTGCAATAAAATTCATAATCCATAAATTATGTACGTATTCGTTTAATTCAGAGGGAGCGTTCCACGAAAAATGGTAGTTCAAAGTTCCCAAAGTGGGCGCTTCCCTTGAAAGTTTGAGCAATGGTCTGTTTCTTTGGTATTATCCTGATAAAGGTGACGTCCTATTTTTCGTAGTCCAAAATGTCTATTATCTTCAATAAATCCCGTCTAGATAGGCCGTTTTCCTGAAACAAGAGCTTAAATGAAATCCATAGTGTAGGTACACTAAGGCCCGCCGTACACGGACAACTCGAGCAGTTAGTCAGTGATCAACAAACACGGAGCGCTCTTGCAGTCAAGAGTCAACAGCTGGAAGCTGCCAGTGATAACTGCTCGAGCAGTTGGTATTAACTGCTCAACAAATCACAAGAGCGCGCGCCGTGGAATGAAGAAAGTGGGCGGAGGAAACAGCGCGAGAGCTGTCGACAGCTCGAGCAGTCAGTGTATCAGTCAGTGTGCAGTGGCGACTGCTTGACCGCACGATGAAAATTCACCGTGCTATCGACCGCCCGAATCAGTTGCAACTGCTCGAGCGGTTCGTGTATGTGCGTCCATAGAACTTTGCAGTTTACTATGCAGTCGCAGATTGAAGCTGTCGACACTGACTGCTTCAAGCGGTCCGTGTATTGCCGGCCTAACTATCGCAGAAGATTAGAAAATTAATGTTAGAATGATTGCAGCTCCAGTAGGTATGTATGTTATGTATAGGCAGTATAGGTAATACTAAGCCTACATAAAATTAAATACCTGCAAATACCCAAATAGTAAAAAAATATGTAAGTAATGCTTTTTTTTATTACGATTTTTTTAAATTAATCCCTTTGTGAATAAGAACGTGTAACATCCCGTTTGCAGCGTCCTATAAAAAAACCGATCCGCTGGAATTTGTAACAGCTGGAATTGCAAACATAATATAATGTGTGTAGTATGTCCAACAAGGTGGACCGACGACCTCACAAAGGTAGCAGGAAGGCGCTGGATGCAGGTCGCTACCAACCGGCCTTTGTGGAAGTAATTGGGGGAGGCCTATGTTCAGCAGTGGACGACGGACGTCCTATGGCTGAGATGATGATAATGATGAATAAGTAATATTATGTGTTCACATGATAGACCAGTTTTGCGGGATTCTGAATTACTGGATTGCCGTGGGAATGGGCCCTTACCACAGTTTTCCTGTCCCACTGTTTTTTGTTCTTGCGTTTTTGCATTTTGCAGTCGTCATCGTCGTCAGCAGTCGGGTCGCATTCGGGAATCCTCGTCACGTTCGGCACGTGCGTAGCAACTACCACTCCCGGGTCAGAAGGGTGTGCCATTATATTGACGTTGCCTTCCAGCTGGCGTTTCAGAATGTTCCTGATGATGTCCAGGTACGGATTGGCTTTTGGTTCGTACCGCACGTAATATGCAGAGGCGTGAAATCTGTAAAGGAAAAAATCAAATCATTTATTCAGTACTTAAATAAGCACAGAACATAGAGACCTCTTTCTATGTTCTGTGGTACTAGGCCCTTTCCAGAGCCCCGATTACGGTAATTTTTAACGTCTCCAATCTAGACGCGCTTCTGATTCCGAGAAGCTTGTCTGGATTGGAGACGTTAAATATTACCGTAATCGGGGCTCAAGGCGCTTGCACACGTCCCTAATACAGCTTCTTGCCCTACCACCACTTCGGGACAACATATTAGGGGCTGGTGACGAACACGACAACAAGAAGAAACAAGAAAAGAAGAGATAGTTAATTCAGTCATGCTGTGAATGTCAATGCTGAGAAGATTGGTAGGTATTTGGGTACCCATGTCCAAGGTCGGACTAGGTCGGGAAGGGCCCGGAGACCGATCTATTACATCAAGCTTTTACATAATAAGGTCCACCCTTGCCCCAAGCAGGTGGCACATTGTTGTCATCCGCTAGAAGCCCTCACAAAGTCACAAGCTAGGGAATGCCTTTCCAACGCCACTAATCACAAAACTGAATTGAGTAAGTATTGTAATTCGACATATAACCCTTTTATACCCCGCGAATCGAGATCCAATAGAAATCAATTGTTACATGGGCTACGGTCCTATGCGAACGCTAAGTATTTACTTAAAAGAGTCGGACCCTGTGTAAGTAGGTAGGTATTACCATCAGCCTACGATAAATGCAATTTTTTTTGCAATTGTTTTTTTCACTAGGGTCCTCGCCCACGGCGACTTTCATCGACAGCATCGCTACCACAGATAATATAATACTAGTCGCTACTTAACGCGCGTTAGTCGCATTTGCAACGCACTACAGAAGTGATGCCAACGCGCTAGTAACGCGCTACAGCAGCGACTGCATCGCTACAAAAAGTGGAAAAGTCGCCGTGGGCGAGGGCCCAGAGCCCCGATTACGGTAACTTTTAACGTTTCCAATCCAGACGCGCTTCTGATTCTGCGATACGATTGGTCAAAACAGCTGACGTACGCTGTTGAACGACCAATCGTATCGCAGAATCGAGAAGCGTGTCTGGATTGGGGACGTTAAAAATTACCGTAATCGGGGCTCTGAACAAGTCACCAGTAATAATTTTATGTGGCTATGTAAAACACTACGCTACACACATTACTACCTTTACTACACCACATGTAGACCTCGTAAATTATGTACAAGTAAAAATTTAAAACAATACTTACATAATAAATGCGAGGCACAAAAATGATTTAATGGCACTCATCTTGTGTCTTTTAGGTGGTTTCCCTTAAAGTGTGCCGACTGAGACTTCATCCCCCATTTTATAGGCGGGCGACTTATAAAAATGTTAATTTTATTCAATAGCGCAAATTACTGTTTGTAAATAAGTACGTAAATCATCTCATCAATAGTCCATAATTTCATAAGAAAGTCCATTTTCGTTAGCTTCCAACTACTTAAACTTTGTGTCTATCTAAATATAATTATAACTCAAAGGTGACTGACTGACTAACTGCCCAAACCAACTGGACGGATCGGGCTGAAATTTGGCATGCAGGTAGATGTTATGACGTAGGCATCGGCTCAGAAAGGATTTTACGAAACTCCACCCCTAAGGGGTTAAAACGGGATCCACGCGTACGAAGTCAAGTCAAGTCAAGTTTATTAATAGATAGCATAGCAACCGCACTGGCATTAAGTTACATGCGTGTGAGTAGGTAAACATTTTTCGTATTGTAAACATACCTTACTAGCCTATCCTTTGACTATTATTATAACAAAACAGTATTAAATCAAAACACTAAGGCAAAAATGCTCTGAAAAATAACATACCTTTAATATGCGATCGGAATTGGCACGCAGAATGATGGTCGATGGGGCAAAAAGGTTCTGGAGATAGGCCATGTAAACGCAAGCGCAGCGTGAGACGACCACCCACAAGGTAGACAGATGACCTCATAAAGGTTCTTCCTTACTACATCTACGGGAAGAGAGTCACTTATACAGAGATATAACAAGTGTAGATAAGCAACTTTGCTAGTATGTTTTTCCGAGGCGTTTTGTTCCCTACTTTATATTTTTTCAAATTTTACCATTTACCTAATGCACGGATGACCTAAAGAATAATAATAATCTTAGTATGTTTGTATTTTATTAACGATCATGAGTCTACCTAATTTTGAAATAAAACATATCTTTAATAAGCAATCGACCAAAATAATTTGCTCTTTTGTTTCAATAGAGCTTTTCAAATATAGCGACATCTATTTATCTAATCTTGCAAAATTATTTCCACGTCAGCACTAACATGGGCATTCATAGTAAAAATACCAAATAAATGGAACACTCCGGCGACAGCTTTGGAATGTTACCATATAATGCAAAATAATTACCCAGAGTAGATCTAGAATTATTTAAAAAAAAACTTTTTAACAATCCCCTAATGACTAATCAAATATTAAAAACTTAATATTTATTAATTAAAAGGGAAACATTGAAATGTAACTTAAGTACTTCAAAATAATTTAAATGTTTTAGTTTATTACATTTTTGGTGCACTAATTTTGAAATTTTAATTATGAACTAGCGGCCGGGGCCACCAGCGACTTCGTACGCTAGGACCACGTTTCACCCCTTTAAAGTGAAGTTTCGAGATTATTGGAACTTTTCTCGCCGTAAAAACCATCCTTGGACTTCAACAGTTAAATCAAGATTCGAGTGATTGTAAAACGCCTACGAATGTTTCATTTGCCGGGCTATGCCATGCCAGTTGCTTTTGTAATAGTTTTTTTTTAAAACAATCATGATTAACCAACTAACTTATAATCGTTTTGATCTCAGATCATATTCTATGATCTACGCACGGACATTGCACGCGGGCGGGAGCAGCGAGCGGGCGGCGAGCGTTGGCGTACGAACGAGCAAAGTTTAGTTCGCGAGCGAATATGAACGAAGACGACCCTGAGGCACTCTCTTCAACGACTTTGCACTAAACGGTCTCATCTTGCTAATGTTTTATATCGAATAGATAGCTAATTTTATACAGTCCATTCATGATTTCATTTATTATTATGTATACTATCGAAGTAACAAAGGTTATGATTCAAAATAATATTATCTTGTCTTGTGGGTGTCTAGTCCCTGTTTTGTGGGAGTGTGTACTTAACTAGTAACAATAGTCATCTTTGGGCAAAAACACGTTGGTCCAGATACCTCACTCGTTTTACTTGCGTCAGTTTAAAAAAAACTTCAGTCAACGATCGGTTTTTGTTCGGTGCGTCTCGTCGTGTGTTGTTTTGTTTTGTTTACGAAATTAAATTTTGTAGGACTATCTTTTGTTTACATTAAATTTTCTTATTATTTCAATTCCCCGAAACAAAGACTATGTGAACTAAATCATTCTTATCAAATTGAATCTTGGAAATTCGCAACTGGAGTCATCTTGTGTTTTAGGTTTTGTTGTTTTTATTGGATTTACTCAAAAATTGTGTGTGTCCAAGTGGAATTGAGCCTTGTTTATCTTCTGGAAACATTCAGGTGAGTGTTCAGCAACTTAATTTGTGTTTTATATGCATAGTTTCCCCACAATAATGATGCTGGCGATATCCTACTTGATTTCGCCTTGTTCGGCAAAGCCATTGCGAAATTTTTTCTCTAGACGGAGATTGGCCTCGATGTCGGTTAATTAAATATGGTATGTGATTTTATCAGCGGCATTGTAATAAATTCAACGATCTCACCTGGACTTACAACTGTCTGATAAAACTTAACGGTATTGTGATATCTATTTTCATGAAAACGTGAATCATGTGCTAATCAAGTGGGTGTTTTTACAGCTAAATGTCAAGAACTTTCCAAAAACACAGTCGTTGTACGGTTTACCTAGAAGATTTGAAACAAATGAAAACTTCCATAGAAAATTAGTAAACAACAGTCGAAGTGGGTCAGTCAGAAGATAAGAAATAATTTCCCCCCCCCCTGTTAAAAACGAAAATAGACCTAAAGGATTTCTTGAATGTAAAAAAAAATAACACTTTGGTTCCTTTTTATAAATCTCCATTAATTGTCCAAAGAAAATGTTAATGCTCTATTTGTCCAGAAACATTGTTAAAAATAATTGTCCAGAAACATTGTTAAAAATAATTGATGAATGAAGTAGTTTTTGTTATAGGAAGGTAAGATAAGTTTAATTTATTATTATTAATAAAATTGAATTAAGTATTGTTCACAAGTGAGTGTTGACAATCTAATGGATTCAATTCTGATTATGACAATGTACTAAACTTAAAAATGTAACCAGTTCAATTAAAAATCTAATTTAATGTATAATAACATGTACGTTATTGTCATTTGACCACTTAAAAATCAATTTTGTATTTAAAACAACACATAAAACCTAATTTGCTACGCAAAATGGTTTGACGACTAATTTCGCATGCACACCAGTGCGTAACTTTCATTTGTCTTCCTGAAAAGTGATGTTTTAAACATGGCTTCCATTTGCATTACAAATCATATTGTTTTGTTGCAAACAGACAAAAGCAGTTCATTGGCATTGAAGTTCCATGTTTTGGTAACATGTAGGTTTTTAATGCCGTTTAAAACATGTTCAAACCTACTACACATGCCAAACTTATTAATAATGCAAAGTCTAACTTTACATAAAAAGAATTTCAATATACCTAACCTAGAATAAAAAAGAATGCATGGAGAATTTTTTTTTATGCGATACGTGTCAGACGAGCAGACTGTATTAATGTTCTAAAAACATTTGTTGTTATTTACTAAGGAGGTATTTGTATTGTGGTTGGTGGTCTCAAAATATCCCTGTCAGTTCGTCCTATCAGTTCAGATAACAGGATTCTTTGCTCATCACAGCATGATAATGTTGCTCTCCTAAATGTATCTTCAAATAACCAGGAGATAAAAGCATGACTCATATGCTGGCGTATTCAATTACCTACTCTTACTTGGTCCTCTTTAGTA